CATAAATAAATGTTGTTCTTGTATTCTGCAATACTAATATTTCAAAAAATGTTACTAAATAAGAAATGTTACTAAACGATTTAATACACACATTATAAAACTAAGAAGAGTTGTGTTCATCAGAATGACGTTTGTGAAGCTATGCAACTGTGTTTGTATAAGCTATGCATTTATGTTGGGGCTAGATCTGATATAATCAACTTCTATATAAGTAACTTACAACTTGTATTGAAAATATGAGTCCAATATTTAAAGCAATTGTACAAAATAGTACTTACAAAACTCTCTGATAGGCTATTCGCAGGTTTCTTTCCTTCTTTCTTTTTTCCTTTCTTCATTACATCCTACTTTTTTCTCCTTCTTTCTTCCTTTCCATCTTTCTTTCCTTCTTTTCTCCTTTTTTTCTTTCCTTTCTTTTTCTTTTCTCCTTTCTTTCTTTTCTTTCTTTTTCTTTTCTCCTTTCTTTCTTTTCTTTCTTTTCTCCTTTCTTTCTTTTTCTTTTCTCCTTTCTTTCTTTCCTTTCTTCTTCCTTTCCTTCTTTCTTTTTTCTTTCCTTATTTCCATATTGTTCTTTTCATATTTATCTCATTTCTTATATCTTTATTTTTTCCTTCTTTGTTTCCACCTTTCCTTTTTTCTTTCTGATTTCTATCTTTGTTTCTCTATTCTTTCTTTGCTTTAGGACACTTATTTGAGGGTAATATTGTGTTTCTCAAATAAATTTAGTAAATGAATATTGTTGCAAGATTCCTTCTTGAGCCTCTTTAGATAGTATGAAAGAAAAACACAATGTATTCCTAATGGTTAGGTAAATGAAGGTCTAAATAGAAAACAAATACGTTCCCTTACGTGATGAGAGGAATATTGTTTTCGAGTGTTTAGGACATGTAATAACTTTGTTCGAAAATTCATTGAAGTGCAGATACTTACGTAGAAGGAAAAACATTCCAATTGCAATCCCAGCAATCCACTCCCCTTTTGGATCCGAAAATACAAATGCGAAAGCTACAGCGCTATGTAAAGCAACCCAGCTTAACGTGATTGCTAGCCATGCTGTAATCCATGACGTTGATTCCTGAAAAAACGGATCAAACTCAAAATAGCCCAATTGATAACCATCGTGGCCGTCAATTACTATATTATTATGATTATGATTATGATTATGATTATGATTATGATTATGATTATGATTATGATTATGATTATGATTGTTATTATTATTGTTATTGTTATTATTATTGTTATTATTATTATTATTATTTTCTCAGTTCATTTTTGTGAACAAATCAATGTAAATATCCCAGAAGCGGTTCGATATTAATGGTATTATTCCTATCCCTATACAGTATTTGACCAACTCCGAGTGTGCGGATGTTCGAATGTGCGGATCCGTCACTCACGGCTAGACCACTTCCCGTACACCTCTCGAGATATAGGAAGTCGACGCTTCTCTGTCTTTTGATGGGGAACTGGCCATTTCTTTCGCAACCGTCCATAAGATTCAAAGAAATGTCTAAAAACGTGTTTTTTCGTGTTCTGGCGCGGCGATCGTAGTGAAAATACCAAGAATTGAATCAATGTCTCCTACATAGATCTATGTCGGTGGCTTTGATTAAACTCCAGTACTCAAAGGCATTTTTCGCTCAATACGTCATAATTTTATTTTACGATATTGACAACACTGATGTTTACATCTTTAAGTTAACAATTGAATTACCAAGCGAGTCGTACTGCAGATTTCATTTCGATTTGGATTCGAATTATTGTATTTTAAAAAAAATGCGACAACCTACGAACAGTATTGCCTCGGAACGTAGGATTTCAAGTGAAAACGGAGAAAAAGACGTGAGAAATGCTACAGAATGAATGAACGTTCTTATGTGCGACTTCTCGCCTTTACTATCTTACATAAGTGTGCAAACAGCAATTTTCAAATGAATGTGACCCACAACTTATTCTTATTAAACTTAACTAACACGATATTCACATTAACATACAAAACAGTCGCCTTTTAATGTTTATATAGATTCGCAAACAGAACGATGAATAGAGCAGTTGCGAAAGTAGAAGTGAACAGAAATTAGACTGAGTTTGTAAAGTTTTAATCTCTTCAAAAATTAGGGGAGAAAAATATGGAAGTTTTAAGGAATTCTGGAAAAGAATCAAATGTGATTGTAAACGATCTTGAGAGAGGATTTTTGGAACTAATGAAGAATGATCTGCATTTTTGTTTTGAGCATTTGTGCTAATGCAAATGTGCTATGTGCATTTTTGTGCATTTTGACAAAAAAAGCGTAAAAATGTATCTATACTAAAATTTAAGTATTAAAATGCAACCAAAACCTACAAGTAGTATTTATTATGGAATTTATAATTTTGAAATTGTAATAAGACCAGTTCATATCGCGTATGGAGGTACGATACAAGGCCATTCTGTTTTGGGAACTTTTGAACGGGCCAATGAACTACTACGATTCATTGATAAGTCAATGCCAGATACTGAAAGAACATATTTGAATAAAGCTTGGCATGAAAAACATTTTCAACTCATGAAACTATTTTTGGAGCAGTTTACAGCGTCGGCGACACCACAGTTTACTAGTAACATTATATGTTATCTTCTAGCCATTCATCTAAGATTGTGAGATTGATTAGTTCACTCCCGTGGATGCTACAAGATGATTTATAGCGTTAATGCTCAAATATATTTATTATATCAGAAGTGTCATAGTGACGTAATAACAACTTTGCTCATCGAATACAAAAGAAAATGATTGAAACAAATAGGAAATGTGTTTTTAAATTATTTATTTTACTTATTTGACATAAGAATGTCTTTCAAGATTTTGAAAATATTTTACAACAATTAAATTTGTTTTACATTATAACACGTTAATCGTAATTAAGTCTTAGAAGTTTTGCAAAAATCGGTTAAAATTTCGGCGTCACCTGTGTTTTCGGAAACGGCGGCTGTGAGGTGCCACACTGGGAGTGTCGGCGTGCGTATTTCCCAGTGAGTCACTGGCGTTGCCCGAGGCGTGCCCCTGTTGCAAACATTAGAGATTCTGTCCTCTGAGGTTCCCGGCGTTTACTAAAACCGCGCAGGTAGAGAAAAATGTTTTCCAGTCTCCCTTGCTTTCGTGCTCATTAACGTTATACTAAATAAAATGTCAAAATACGCGTCGAAACTTGACGCGTGCGACCGTCCCATTACAATATCTTTATCTTGGATTTTGAAAATATAATAATGTGATTTTTTGACGATTGTAAACTGCAGAAATAATAATTATAAAAAAAGAGGGTTATGATTATACAATAAATGTCACATATGAGCGACTTATTTCACGTGGAATTAAACAACTCATCAAAGGTCGCAACAACGACCCTCTTGTCAAGGTAGAGTTCCCGGATGAAAATGCAAACTCTGAGCAACCATTCTCTGCAAAAAGGATTTTTCGTTTCACACTTTCAATTTCTTCTCTTTTTCCTTTCTCCCAACAAAGTAGAGAGAAAGTTATGTAATGCTGAACGAAGAAACGGCGAATTTTCGGTAGAAAAACTCTGAATACCGCGCCTTGGTAACAAAAAAGTGGATAAATCCAGTTGCTAAATTTACAAAAAAATTCTCTATCATGTGGTGTCGTCAGAATCCATGTTTTGTGGGTCCTTAATATCGAAAAATAGAGTGACGGCAAAACGCGTGTCCGTCTGCCCGTCCATCTGTAAACAATGCTAGCCGCTAAACCGTTAAGTAGATTTTTTCAAAAAAATATATTTCCGAATCGATCTGGCTGATATTGTGGCCCTGTTATTTTTAAATCAATATTTTAATTTTGGGAGATATTTTACATGGAGCCTCTGGGACATTTTCCAAATTTTCAAATAAGTGGCTCCATTTTTGATTAATATTTTTTGTTGGTTGGTGTGAAGGACGTTTAAGAAAATGAAGGTATCATGTTTGTTGAAAACGCTGATTTTTCGAAAACTGCAGAACTCCAAAACATTTATGGAGTCCTCCTACATCTATAATATTAGAGATAGGAAAGTTTTCCTCTTAGTAAAATCTGTTCCTTAAAGATAGATTTTGAAGTAAGGTCATGTACAATTTTTCGAAAATTTGAGTACTTTTCGCGTGATTGTGTTTAAAAATACGGACGAGAAACTACGTGCTTTTTAAGCACTTAGCTTTTATTTACATTTCAACTTTCCTCGTATTTTAACAGCAGTGTTGTACTACATGCGTGATCATTTCGATAATATTAGTAATAAGAAGAAATTCCTTTGGCGTTTTGGTCTCAACAGCATAGATTTCCGTATGAACGTTTTTGTTGTACTTTTTCGATTGCGTAACAGGCTTTGCATCACCGCAACTTTGTGCGCATTTCCAAAACTTGAAGCGTTGTGGACTCGGGAAGTCATTTCAAGTTATTTTTGTACCCAGAGTGCACTGCAATTCATGCACCGAGTGCACGGCAGACTGGCGGGCTGGGGTTCTGACCGCCTCAAGTCGGATTAGATTGCAGAGCTGCGCGCGATTCAAGGCTGTCGTACATTGCAATGTAATTCCGTCAGTTAAAAAACAACATTTTCTTCTTTTGTGTCGGAAAAGTAGATTTTTTCCTTTAACAATATTTATATTTAGCTTTAGCAATATTTACATATCCTCGGAGTTGCGACTGATATAAGCACAACCTTCTGGCAGTTACAAAAGAAAAGACAAGAAATTACTGCGCAGAACCGAAGAGTCTCTAAGCAAAATGACATGTGAAACGTTTGTTCAACTAATGGAAGAGAATATAATTGTGTTTTTCAGCTAAAATGACACACACACATACCCAAATACATATAATATTTTTGCGAAAACCATAATTTATTATTTTCAGATCTTTCCTATGTGGTTTGATCATTTCAGGACGCTGAAATTCTGACAAAAAATGATGAATTTGAACAAAAACTGCAAAGAATAATTCATTAATGATTAAAATATATAAATGATTTACCTTGCTAGCTCCCACAATCAAGCCAATGCACATAAAGAGTTCCAGTGCATTCCACGCAGCGAGGAAGGCCAATAAATTGGACGTGAATTTACGAAGACCTGTTGAACCCAAGCAGGTAGTAGGGGTATCTGTAAATTTCAACATCAGGTATTAAATGAATCTATTGGTAAGGAAATTGTGGATGGACGAGATCAGATCATTTTACATATTTATCTACCTTACCCACCCATATATATGAAAAGTAAAATACGATGTATTGTTCCTGTTCTTGGCTCAACAGCTTGATTCGGGCCATGGCCGGCCAAAAAATACGATGTATTTGCATACATTCTATCTCCAAAGGAAATTCCACAAAACCAGAATAACCCAAAACGTATGGGAAGGTTATCTTCTGCCAGTACATTGGCTTTTGGTACTTGGTAAAATACTTAAATCTCAGGTTTATGAATGCAAATTATTTACACCTCCTTTATCATCCTGTATGAAATGTTTATTTTTCACATAGATTCAATCAACTCAATTGTTCTACTTCTAAAAACCTATTTATTTAGAGAGAGATATTGATTGACATTATTTGTTACGAAATTAGTGTTGTAAAAAAATGTTATTAAATTATTGTTGGTGTGTGGCTTTCTAAACAGAAAATCTTGTTTTAAATATTGCAATGTTGATGATTGCTGTAGACGGTAAAAATGACATACTCGAATTCAAAAGTGAAATAGTGGTGTTGCAAATGGCACATACCTTCTCATATTAGTTACCATTTATTTTGAGCCGGACCCACTTTTCCGGAGTGCCACTTTGCATCAGCGGCTTCCGAGGTGCCATCTATCGGCACCTAAAGAGAAGTACAGGTTCTTTCGCGATTACTACCTCTCAAGTTTTTTTATTTTTTTCTGAAGGTAATTACATAGGTAGTTAGTTGATGTTCACATATACAATATTTGCTACTTACTCACTAACTTATTCTAAGCTTACATACAACACAATGGAGAGGATCCCATTATGGGTCCTCGAATCTGGTTTTATGCTTGCGAATTTGATTTGGAAGATATGGAATGGATATTTATTTTGGATTCTGGTTTTATGAATAGGGTTTTTTGTCAGTCTGAATTTGGAGAGTACTGGGATTTGATGAATGTCTACCACTCACGTGAGGACAAATCTTGGTTAAGACCACCCTCGCGCTCTTGGAACATCTCGCAAAGATTGCTCTTACTCCGATATTATATCTTCTTCTTCTTCTTAGTAGGTCGTAGGCCTGTTCCGTTCCTTGGAATTAAAAACATTCGGGCCATAGTCGCCTCGGTCTTCCGGGATATCTTCTTCCCACAGGTTTAGTGTCTCTCGAGACTTACAATTCTCTCTTCATTCATTCTATCAATCTCTCCTATGTCACATTATTTAATCGGAAATAGACTAATTCCACATGTTCTAATGTTTTCATTTCTTTCTCTATCCAAGTACGTTTTATTTAAAATTTTCAACACACAAATTTCTTCCCCTTCTAGCTTACGTTGCATGTTTTTTGTTTCACCTCCTGTCTCTGCTGCATATGTTAAATTCGGTCTAACTACTAACTTATATATTCTTAATTTTGAGTCTTGTCTCAAATATTTGTTGTATCACACTGAGTAATTTAAGCAGCCGGAAATTGTTTCCTTTCATGACTTGTTGTTATACCTCCTTATTCATCTGTCCTGAGCTTATGATCACTATCCTTAAGTATTTTGTTTTTAACATTTGATCTATTGGTTTATCATTGACCCCGAGCTTACATCAAATAGGATATTCCTGTGTCTCATTTCTATGTCATTATAGGATCTCGTTTCTATGGCATTATATTTATAATAGTGGAAGCCCGTGAACCCAACTGGGTCTAGAAAACCAGTTCATGAATAATGCACACAGATAGATAGCATAAATTTCTCACACATAAATCACATAGAGGAAGGATTCATGGAAGGATTAAAGTATATCAAAAACACAAAATTGATTTATCCTGTTTATGATATAGTGCAAAGAACAAAACGACAGAAGATATATTTGCCTATGGCATCATTTGACCCCGTGTAGTTGCTTTTACTGTGTATTTTGCTGGGTGTAGAGATCCAGTTGCTTAATTACATACGCACAGTTGTCTCTCAGGTCAAGAGATTTTGGAAAGATCAGAGTATAAATGTAATACACGAGGGATTAAGAGAGATATCCCTCGGCTCCATGTATCATTCTAATGGATGTTTTATATCCCTTGGTGCTTTTACGTGACTCTCATGCTCAAACTCCACGGTGTACGAAATATATTTCATAAAACATTGTTAAAACGAATAATGTAAAACTAATAATATAAAAATAAAAAATTATAATATAAAACGCATACGCAATCTTTAATGTATTTTTCGGTATTGATTCTACGTGTTTAAGTTACAGTATCCGCTTTCGTGCAACCATTCAATGTTAGTTTTCAACATTAAAATCTAAAAATATTGCAACCAATAGTTAACAGTTTACTCATTATTAACTACAAAAAATGATTGTAATAGTATTTACAGTACGGATCAGTTTACGCAATGGTTTAATTGACTTTCATGTAATTTTTATATAAAGAAAATGGATTTTACATAAGTACAAAGGATTTGATTTTTGGGTGTACTTTGCCTTAACTACAACTAATTTGAACCTCGGCTACATTTTCTAAAGTATCTCAAAAATGATTTAATAAAAATGGATTTTATATTTAAACATAGTTCTTGAATAGCATTAGATTTTTCTGTAATAAAAACTTTTCTAAAAAAATCAATGTTAAAAATAGGTTCTGTACATTTTTATGAAAAAAAATGAACTTATCATGGAATTTCTGCTTGAAGTTGAAGCACTTAATGAAAACAACTTCTCATAAATGGCTCCACAGATAGAGCAAAGGACGGAAGTTAGGACGAAAGTTTCGGAAAGTGCCTAAATTAGAAAAAAAATGCGAGAAAATTTGTTCTGCTGCTGCACCACTGGTGTCTTAACTACTTAAGACAAGAATAATCTCATAGTTGAAGTATCCATTTGATTACGAACGTATGAAATTCATAAATCTAGACGGATTGGAATGAGCATTTGCGAGCTTAAACTTTGGAAGAAGCAGAGAAATATATTTGCCCGACTAATAAACGATTATAAAACTCAAGACTATTTTACGACACAGAAGAAATGGAATACATTTGTACAACTTTGCAAAGACAAATGCATAAAACTTCAAATTTGTAAGTAAAATTGAAATTAAACATTAATTTAGTGAAACATGGTCCTATTGTAGATTAAAAATGAATTACAGAAATATACAATGGCATTTTAAGAGGTGAGAAATATGGAGATTAGCTTATATAAATTCAATTTATAAGAAAGACGATAAAAATATTGTGATAATTATAGTGGAATAAGTGTGTCTTCATCTTTGGTTAGACTTTATGGTCATGTGCTAAAGAATAGAATTGAAATACAAATGTCAGGAACAGAAGAGCAAAGTGGTTTTAGATCAGGAAGATCTTGTATTGACAATATTTTCTGCCTCAAACAACTGATGGACACAAAACAATTGAGCGAGGAAGAGAACTTCACAAAATTTTCATAGATCTCAAAAAGGCTTATGGTAAAGTACCAGTAAATAAAGTATGGGGGCAATGAAAGCAAAAAGAATACCTACAACATTCAGAAATGCAGTGAAACAACTTTATAAAGGTAAAAAAAGTAAAGTAAAAGTGGGAAAATGTCTATCAGACAACTTCCCAGTAAATAAAGGAAGGCTGTTGTATATCTCCAACCCTCCAACCTAAGATATACATTGATAAAACCCTGAAAGAATGGAAAAGAAAATGTAAAAGTATGGTTGTGAAAATATGTGATAAAACAGTATTTAGTCTACAATTTGCAGACATGCAGATGATAATGGCTGAAGATGTAAATGATGTAACTTGTATGATCAGTAAATTAGGAGAAGAATATGTAAAATGGGGAATGGAAATAAATGTACAAAAGATTGAATATATGAAGGTGGGGGGTATGTCCCATGATTTAGAGACTAGTATAGGAATAGGAAAGGTAATACCCAATATAAGTATTTGGGAGTCACACTAACAGCAGATGGTAGAGACGAACATGATGTGAAAAATAAAAATATAAGAGGAAAAATAGCCACAAGACAGTTAAATATATTGCTATGGAACTCAATTATTTCAATGAAGACGAAGTAACGTAGCTCCTTCATAGAGAGTACAATACTCTATGGGGCAGACGTCTGGACACTAACACAAAATAGTATGAGACAAACTTCAAGCAACAAAAATGATATTCTGGCGAAGAAATGAACTTTCTGGTAGACAAAATAAAAAATCAATAAATAAAATGAAAATTCAAACAATTTTGAACGAAACGGTCGAAATGAAACGGCCACAATGATATGGACAAATGAGAAGTTTGAAAACAGATAGACATACACAAAAAGTTTGGGAATTAATGTATCCCATCTAAGAAGATATGAAACACGGCAATAACTAAAGATATGGAAAAAGAAGTGGAGAAAAAAACCATATGGGATAGAGAGGCATCAAAATTGGGATGCGGAAAACGGCCAAGGCTGTAAAGCAACTTCTAAATAGATAGAATAGATAGATAGAATAATACTTAGAATTAATTAAAATTATAGTGTCAAATGTTTGTTGAAAAATATATCGACGTCCCAGTCCAAAGTAGCATTAACTCATAATTTCTTTGACAATACCAGTTACATTACCTGATTTGGATATTTATTATAAATTTTGAACTGTTCTGCCAAATTAAAGTGCCAACTAACATTTTAGGGATAATAATAAGACATTATAGCGGCAATATCTCGAAATTGTGAATTGTTACCTTTTGGAACTGCGCCGTCAATGTAATATAATGATTAATATTTATGCAATTTAAGACATAATGCCGTTTTACTCACTATAACATGAATTGCTGTCGTAAGCAGAACTTCCAATAACTTCGAGTATGAAAAATGCCACTGCAAATATCTAGAACATACATCATACGTATATATGTACTGTTAGGCAAAGTAAACAAAAAACAATCATTATACATTAAATACATATAAATTGATGACAGTTATTAATGCTCCGAAGGAATTGTGAAAACGATTAGAAACGTCATTTGTCATCAGATACTTGAAGTAGACCGTGTTAATTGGTCAATCGATAGCAGTAATAAACGTCTGACCAAAGAGCGATGGCATTGTAATTTATGTTTTCTTGCTGAAAAATGATCTTGGCGAATGAAAATCGAAGGCCGACTGCTCTGATCAGTGGTTTCCCTGGTTACTTGGATCGCGTGCGATTCTTCCTTTCTGATCCCTTTTCATTACCATTCTTAGGGCTGTGTGATAGTTCTGTATCCCATTCTCGTACGGCTCATCTCATTGGTCCACGATTGGGAAAACCCACGACAAGCACCGGGAATTTGGAAAACAGCGATCAGCTGTGTGTTCTCCAAAGAACTAATTGTGTATTGTGCCGAAACTCTTGATAATAATAATAATAATAATAATAATAATAATAATAATAATAATAATAATAACAGGTAGAGATCAATAAAGATATGTTACATATGAGTCTTAAAAGGAAAAGAATGAAGCTAGAATCGGAAGCACTAGTATTAGCTGCCCAAGATCAGGCGTTGAGAACACGACATTATGATAAAATGGTTCCCAAAATTTCCCAAGAGGATAAATACATTTGCCAGGAAAAGTAGAAACCATTGATGACATTGTCTCAGCTTGTCCAATTTTAGAGAAGACCACATACTTGAAAAGATACGACAGGGCGTGGTTACCTCCACTGGCAGATCTGTACCGTCCTGAAAGTTCCAAACACATGATTCAAGAGGTACGAACAAAAAAATTCAAACTGATCGCACGATTGTGGCGAATTAACCGAATATGTTGTTATCCGGGTTAAGAAATAAAACCTGTTCACTTGTAGCTGTAGCTGCAATGTGCGATCAAAAGGTCGTAACCTAGGAAGCAGAAAAACGTCTTAAATACAAACATTTGGAAATCGAGATCAGCCGAATGTGGGGCATAAGATCAGCGGTCCTCTCGATAGCTATCGGAGCTCTGTAATTTGTTCCGCAAAATGTATGTAATAACTTGGATAAACTCCCAGGCCTTTCAAAAGACTAGAAAGTGCAAGAAATTGCATTATTTGGAACAGCCCACATTTTTCGCAAAGTATTGTAGAGCACCGACAGTCCTTAGATTTGCTCCTTACGAAGCTGGTTGCTACCTGAAGTAAATGTATATTCAACCGATTTATAATATCTTAAGTCGTGAATTAGAGGAATAATAATAATAATAATAATAATAATAATAATAATTATAATAATAGACGATCAGATGGCCGAGATCGCTAAGGCAGCAGTGTCGTGACTTCGAGTCCCGCCTGGGGTATAGTTGTGTTGTGTATATATGTATGTGTGTCTCGCCCTTTCACCCCTAATTGTCATGATCATTTCATCTTCCATACCTCCAGGGCTAACAACCCTGCGGGATAAATGTCGGATCTACCTAAATGCTGATTCCATGATAAAATTACATACCCCTGCCAACGAGATAATGTTACTGAGCTCCGGTAAGTGCAGGATGCATGCACGCGTGATCCAATTCGGCGTATTTGCGAGCAAAAAAATATGGATCACTTTTGAACAAGCTTGATTTATTTATTTTGTTTTCGCACCTGTCAATTACTTAGGTCAGCATTTGCAAACTGAAGGAGAAATGATGTCAGAGCAGAATTCCCCTCCGAGACAGGAAAACGGAGAATCAGTGCGAGTAAAGTGGGGAGGGAGGGGCAGACGGCGATCTCCGATTACGAATTCCAGTGGGCGTTTGCCGATGTTTCAGGGAAAAAGAGTGGGAGACCATCTACACCCGTTAATTTTCCTTCAGTTTGGGATGACGGGTTTCCTTTTGTAGATACTGGAACAATGGAGATGAGTTTAGTGAGTTGGAAAGAACTGCAATATGCTAAAAAGTCCAATCTACAGAAGCATTACGTAGCTTTGCGAGCCAGGGAAACCAGCAAGATAAAAATAAATTCTATGAATTGACAGCTCGCAATCATGGCAGTAGTAAAGCAATTTGCAGATTGAAAATTATGGAAAAGATACTAAAAATTACGAGGGTTTACATTCTCAAACAAAATCGTTTCTATGCGGGTTTCTGTCACGTCACAGATATTCAATTGGCAAACACTGACTTAAGTCATTAGTCCCATAAGTGATATTAATGTTATGTCGTGGGTGGTGATTCCGGGCACGTCAACTACCAAGGTCATTAGTTATGGAAATGTAGTGCATGTTTTTAGCCGGGGGCGGTGATCTTTCCCTGTATGTCGAGATCCGGCGCCGACATACCGTCGTCTAGCGGAGATTTCCCCAACCAAGTATTTCTCACCACCGTCCCTACTCGGAACAAACTCTAAGCTCCCGACCGGTCTCCGGGCATGTGTGCGCGTGTAGTGCGTGTTAGTCTGTGTGTAAGAGAAGAAGATAGGACAAGGAAGAGGTAGCAAAGATCGCGTGCGGTCCGTGGCCCGTTCGTTAGGGTTCTGCTCCGGCATTCACCTGGTGTTGATCGGAGAAACCGCGGAAAACTACCAATCAAAGCGGCTAGAATTCTCATCAGCCAGCAACTGAATTCGACTAAGCTGACCAGGTAGTGCCGAATATCCGGCCACCGTCGGGACTCAAACCTAGGACCTCCCTGTCACAGGGACTGCAGTGACATCAGTTGATGCCCTGAGGGGAGTTCGCGATATTCCTCGCCGCTGACACAGGAGATCGCCCCCTACGTACAAACCGACTTGTGGAGGGTTTGCCTTTTCAGGTATCTCTGCCACAAGTTCGAAGATGACGATTACTCTCTTAACATATGTCGTAATGTAGTTCATATGAGTTGAATGGGAGAGGAGAGAACAGAGAAGAGGAAGAAAAGAACGCGCGAAGTCTGTGGCCTGTTTGGTAGGTCATTTCTCTGTCATTCGTCCGAAATTGATCAGCGAAACCATGGGAAACGACCTATGAGAACAGCCGGCCGCAAAAGTTCCCTCCAGTCAGCGGCTGATTTCGACCAAACTATCTAGCTTGGAGGCAGATAGTAGGGCAAATTAATACGTGAACCGTTAGACCTTGAAGTTAAGCTCAGACAATGACTCCAAAGTTGAATATAGAATTTAGAGATTAAGACACCTAATCTACACGAGAGGAAAGATTCCTTGAATTTTTTAATGCATGCACGCCTTTAACAGTGACTGATCAGCTTGCACTGCTCGGGAAGCTGACATTCCTTGGGAATGTGCAAATATGAAATATACAAGCAATTGAAAATGATTGAATAAATATATACATATTACATTACACAAGTATGATACTATTTTGGCGCACTTTCTCACGAACTCGTATTTTAAAAAAAATTACTCTAAACGATTCATGAACTCACCATTCCAAAGCAGCCAATAACAATAGCTCCTGCCTGCAGGCTACAGCATAAGAACTTGCTTGGCAAAAAGTTTCCCATTGCTTAATCAATAACCTGCGACACAAACATATAATAATAAAGGTATCACCAAGAATTCGACATTGTCTTGTTACATAATAGTGACATGTCCAATTACTTGAATTTTAAAAACAATTTTTTTGAGTTTCGAAACTTTCATATTTGTGATTTGATGAGATATATTAGTACTTCTAAAATAATTTAATAAACAAAATCATTTACTGTCAACATATGTTTCATTTTGTGAAGTTTCAATCAACTTCTTCAGTTTAACTTCACACGACTTTAGGAAAAAAATGTTTGTAACGCTTGTTTTTTGTAGGACAATAGCTAACTGCTTCATTTCTCAGAAGAGAAAGATTTCTCAGAAGGATGTGTCAAATAATAGTTATTTCTGATTTTAAGTAGGATATGAAAAGCAAATTCTTAGATGCACCATGGATTTAAGTCGTCAATTAAGGATTCTGACCAAGCAAATACTCGTACTTCCTGTTTGATTTTGGTAAATAAAGCTGGGAATATTACATACAATGTAAAATAAATATTGAAAAGTCCTAAAATGTTAACTCATGTTAAGAAACTTTTGTGCTTCAACCGCACATACTATGCCACAATTTGTGAAACGGCTACACAATATGATAATATTACATGAGCCTCCAAAAGTGTGTCCAACCAGTAAACATTTTTCTCCGTGCTAGGATTCGAACTCATATCCTTAGAGTTTCCGCATCATTTACATTACCTCCCTGTAGGCCCACCTGCCTCACTGTCAAACTCAACCTTTCCAACGGTATAAAAAAAGTTGAACATTCGTATTTGCAATATTTCAAAAAGTCAAAAAAAATCATTAACATTATTTCAAGATGTAGTTTCGAAGAAGAGATTTCATTAACAAAAATAATATCTCTACCATCAATATTGTAGTTTTACAAGGTTAATTGTTTGCAAATTTTGAAAATATAATGTGTTTGCAGAAAACTGGTCCTAAGACATTTTTAAGCGAGCTTTATTCGAGGAAACTTTTTGCGGAACGAGATTTGTTACAGAAACAAATTGAGAGGACAAAATTCGATTCGTTTTTGAAACAAATGTTTATCAATATTGCGTTACTTCAAGAACATATTACTAAAAACAAATCGTTAAAAATATTCGTAGGCTTATTTAAAGATCCATTTTTCGTAAAGGTTTTGATTAAGAATGACATAGTTTCTTCGCTCGCTCACCTACCCTAAGTCCCTGACTTTCAAGGCCGAATCACTTTCCTGTACCAATTGTAAATGTGTTACAGTTTTTATATAATAATTTGGTAAAATCCATAATGTAAGTGTCCTTTCTTTTTGTCCACGCTAGACCTTCAATGTGGTTTGTACTATTAAATTATAGAGCTGAAATCAATCGTTACCGTAGCAACAAATCAAAAAATTATTTTAACAACGTTTTCGGAAATAAACAATTTTTCAAATTCACCTTGACTGAACATTTTGCAGAACATAATTTTTACACCATGTGCCAGGTAACACAAAGGCTTAGTTTACCCTCATGTAATTATTATATTGAGAAAATTGTGTTTTACACAAGAATACGAACTTTTTCCTTGTTTTCTGCATTTTTTGCTCCTCTAACAAGAAAATGAAAATTCGACATGAATAATACAGAGAAGTAAAATATGATTTTAATTTCAATTACAAAACTTGAAAACGTTTTTAAGAAAATATAATTTTCAGTGTTTCTTAAAATGAGCAATTTTTGACTCATTTTCAGACAATTTTTGAGCTTTCTAGAAACTTCATTAGGCAACATTTGAATTATTTGTGCTTGCAAATGCAGTAACGTATAAATAATGACCGTAATGTAAATTTGGACGGAATACAAGGTGCCACAAATTTATTTTATTATATTATAGTATATTTGTGCAATATAAAGAACAGTGGAGGAAAAAATAAACAATATAAATTAAAGTTGTTTCTGTTTTGGGCATAGGAAAATGTTATAACCGTATAACATTGTATAACTTAATTAAATAAATAATCAATATTTATGCATTGTTATTCAGTGCATTTAGTACTATTCGTAGAAAATGTTTAAAAAAATAGGGGCAGTTCTGTGTTAACGTTGTGTAAATATTTCCAATATTTCACTGAAACTTGCGTGAAACTTTTAATATTTTGAAATACGTACGTGATTTAAACTACATGAATGTACATTAATTAAAGAACTGAAGATGGAAAACAAAGTTCATTGGTAGAAAAAATCTCTTATTTTCAATAGTGTAGTTGGAGGACGCGTAAATATTTCGAACTATTATATTTTCCGATTTTTATTTTTCAGGATTAACACAAGAATTTGAACCCGTTCCATTTTTATAATTGTATTTCACTCTAATTATACGAGAAATTCAAAGAAAAAAGTTGGAGCCTTATTGAAAAAAATGTAAAAAGGTACCAGGGGCATCATGTATAATATATCATGTATAATTTAAAAGAATATTTTCAAAATCGCAGAGCTTCTAGTCTGGACAGATCGGTTTGGGTATATTTATTTTGGCAAAAATACTGCGTATAGTTTAGGCTCTAGTGCTGTTCACAGACGGTCAGGGCTAATCCCAGTTTGTAATCTCAGCGAGTTGCACTCAACGTCTCGTACATTTGATCGCACGTCCTATCAACACTATTGAAGGCACCAAGAGCGATTGTGCCCATGTGATACTGATCGAACAACTAGCTAGATGCTGTCTTTTTTAATCGTTTTCCGTGAGTTATAACAGCTTTGCAAAACAAAACAAAAATTTCCAACTTCGAAATATTTTTTAAAATTTTATCTTCATTTAATAAGCGCGGTATTAACACTGAGATGAAAGTGCATGTGTTGAATATGTCCAACAAATGGGAACGCGAGAAAAATCCCACATTACACCTAGCAATTACTTACGTCGTTAAATACGAGGCAACTATTTTATGGTAATATTTTGAAAAAAAAATATAGTCTATAAAAAATAATTTAAATTCATTTACCAAGTGCCGTGAATTGAAGCAGCAACGATGACGTGGCGTATGTAACGTCCGCACCTGCAACCGCTACCTACGCCGATGTTGCAGCTTTGCGCGCCTTCGATCTATGCGTACCGCGCTGGGAACCCCCGCGCGCCGTCGCTCTTGCCCAGACCAATACCACCTGCACGGCTTGATGTAGGTGGCATTGGCCCAGACCCTTCCGCGCTCGATGTCAAGGGCGGCCAACCTTCTTGCATCGGTGCGGACACGAAGTCGACGTGTCTGTTGGAAACGATACTTTTCAATCATGTATATACTCTGCCTTGAAAATAGCACGCTGGGTAACGTGCCATTTTGTGAACAATTGGCAGTAATTATGGTATAATAAATATATATTAGTATAATATGTAAAGTTGTAAATAAGTCTAAAATAATATAAATTATATTGCCCTCATAACAAACAGGTTTTTAAGAAATATGTTATGTGAGTGTGTCTGTGTTCTGCTGTTTTTATTCTTTCCGTGATTTATTCTCTTGAGCTTCATTAAAAATACGTAATTAATAAATACTGAATTATGTTACTCTTTTATTTGGGTTTGCTGTGATGGCTTTCCAGCTTCAGAGAGGGTCACAATGCCCTGTGGAAGGGAAATACTTCGCATAGGAATGCGACATGATATCAATCGACATCGGTTTTGAGATTTGTATGTGAAAGAAAGGTTTCCAATATTCATATACTGTTTCCAATATTATGTAATTGTTTTAATTAAACTACTCAATATGTTGTAATGATTTTGTAGACTCCTGTAACAATATTCTGCATTTCTTGAGCTTAGATTTATCCTATGTTGTTGCAGCTTAATCCGTGCCTTCCCTTGATATTCGCGGACTCGCAATCATAATTCATTTTTGGAAGCTCTGTTGCATTTTTGAATGATATTCTCAATAATAATATAGTAGTTCATTTTACATTCAAATCACTTTTACTTGATTTTTTTATCAACATTCGTATATGTATTCGGTATTTTAGGGATGGAAATTCGACTTTTGCTAGCTAGCGATGTTCCCAAGCCTAGACTTTGTTCTTCTATTACTCACAACTGGGATGGGGGGAGGAGGAAGGAAGACTTATGGCAAGCATAACGTATTTCCATCACCGTAACTAGATTTTGTGGCCTGCCTGAGGCATATTCGTCTCACATCTACAGAAACTGACACGATTTGTATTAAAAAAGCTAGTTTTTTATTTTTGCCCCGGCCTGGAATCTCACCCGGAACTCTCACAGAAAGTTAGCTCGCTCTTCATGTAACATTCTAGGGGCTCCAACGTACTACATAATTATATATAGAATCATATTTAGTGTCGCTCCCCTTCCTTGTATACTGACACACAATTTTGAAAGAAAAATTAACATTTGAAACAGTGGTCAGAAGTATCTAATATTCTTTCACTTCACATTCACTCAGATAATGGTTTTGCTCGTACTTAAGGCTGTATTCCATAATATATGGCCATGAAATATCTGTAAAGAGTTTTCCAAATTTTGTATTTTCTTCCGAAAGTGGGAAATATGTTTTATGCCATTCATATGAAGGAAATCGTTTCATTTATTTCATTTTATAATCCCATTTCTATGTTTTTTTTTATAATTATATGTTTTGAAAAAATTAAAAAAAATACAATAAAAGTAATGTGTACCGAAAAGAATTAAAATAATCAGATAGAACAAGTTTCTCCAATTCCATCAAATTGTAACTTACTCTAATGGAGTACTAGTATTGTTTGAAACGCATTGGGTGTTGGTTATGGTTTTCTGTTCAATCAATTTATTTTTTTATGAAGACATATTTTAGCCATGGTAAAATATTAACAACATTTTTCGACATTATTGAATGAATCGTATTTTACGAGAGAAGTTGTGCTACGATACAATGCCACGGTCCTTTAAGTTAGCTTTTATTCTCTTCTTTGTAGCAACCAATACAATGAACTGCATATAAAACATTCAAATGTTTAAAAAGACATCGGTCCTTTCTTAACCCATTATCGACCAAATTAATTTCGTACACGTAGCGCTGGACCATTGAAGGCAACTTTTTACTGTTTTTTTGACTGAATAAATCTAAATCGAAATTTTTCTCGCGATTTCGCCTAATACGACATCTATCACTCCGGATTCAAAACTTGCTTATATTTAATTTAGGATGTGTCCGTCAATTGCATAAATAAAGTTTCCAAATTAAAGTACACAAAATCACGCAACAATGAAATGAATTTGGCTCTGAAGTCTCCAATTGAGGACCATGGCAGTTAATGAGATAGGCCTAGGCCAGGGAAATTCAATATAAAATTTATTGTCGGCAATTCTTCAACAAATTAGTATTTTTCGAGGGCGCTTTTGTCCTCATCAACAGGTTATACTGTAAAAAATATAAATTACATTTAAAATATACACAGATAATTTTCATTTATGTTATTTACATTGATAAATTTCATTTTGTAAAAACCTGTTTAGTGTAATAATAATAATTGTAAAATACTAATATTTAATTATATATTCATGATTTATTATATTAAATATAATGGATTCAGATCCATTTATTCAGATACACGTTGAAATAGAAAAGAACAAGGAGGAGTCTGATATAGCAAGGAATGGTTGATATTGATGAAACAATGTTGGACTAGAAATAAACTATTATTTTTTCTTGACAAAATATAAATGTTGAAGTACATTTTTAAAAGAAAAAAGCCTATTTTCTCATAATGCAAGATTATTTTATACAAATAAAGACATTTTTCATAACATTATTTACATTATTACATACTTTCATTCCATCATCATAAGTAATAATACTTATTACTTGAAAGTGGAATGAAAATAATTATTTTCATTACACGTTCCCATTAAGCAATCGTTATAACAAAACAAAATGTTAAGGTTAAGATGTACTTAATTTTAATAATAAATGTTTATTTTTGTAATGCAAAGATAAAAGATTAAAATGCAGTACATGGAACTCTGATATTTGTACAATTGCTTTTACATCATTTTACAAATGTTAGCATGAAAACTCAATAACTACACCATTGACCAGAGTAGTTAATGAAAGTTGTAATATTACAATTAATAAAGTAAAGATTTGACGACTTTACTGGTTGATACTTTACATTCCATAATTTGATAAATGCATTTGGTAATGTAATTTTCTGCAAAATGATACATGGTCAATAAAACTTTTGTACAAAACCAAAGATTTATTATATTTTGATAAGATTAATGAACAAAAATGTCGTAAGTTATTTTGAAATAGAAATGATTCATAGATGTCTTTCCTTTGGTCTATTCGGCTGGAGCTGATTCAGAAACCACTGGTGGAGCTGTCATTGAAGGGTTATAACTTCCCTGCGTTTGTAATTGGGGCGGTAATTGTGTTTGTGATTGCGATTGTGAATACCAAGCTGGGTGGTATCCTGAAAAGTTCACCACTGTTGATGGGGTTGCGAACTGTGGTGCAGGAACTACACAATTTGGTGGATGATGCGTTCCATTCAATTCATTTTGCAAACTTGCCACAGTGAGAACTGAAAGAACGCTCATTGCTGAAACAATAGAAAGGCATGTTTTAAGTAATATGCGCCTTATAGTACGAGATAGTTATAGCTTCTGAAAATACAACGAAACCTTAATATCTTGAATCGGAAAGAGAAGCAAAAAATCGAATAATCCAGTATTTCGAGATACGAGTCGCCGAGAAGAATTTGAGAATAATTCATCGAGATTTTGACGGTGAAAATCGACTTCGTTGGAATCGTTTTCAAACTATGAGAATTGATTCAACGGTGTATGACTCTCTAACTTTATGTAAATGAATAAAATCATACAAATGCTGAGAAAGTATTCCTTTTATATCAACCACATCCACCCTCTCTTTCACCCCGTCACCTATGTGGAAACATTACATTAAGTTCTAATCAACGCGAGTTATGAATACACCCTGGCTAGGAGTGTACAATGCTTTAACGATCTCGACGAAATCGACATATGACAATGAGAAATGCGAAAACTTGCTTAAATGTTTCATTTACGATGTCTCCTTTATTGAAGGAATAAACCTTGCAATAGAATATTTGAGATAAGAAAAGAAATCTTGAAATGTACTGTATCGTTTTTGGAACAATGGGTTCTTATGAGACAAAACATAACATGAAACTTCTTAATTTCAGAAAAATTACCTGTTCCCCTTTCCTTAATTTTAAATTAACACCAATCTAATTGAACTAAAAATTAAAATACAGAAATTGTAGAGTAAGGCACTCCAAATAATTTTAAGAAGTTGCCTTTCCATTTATGTCTTTATTGTTATCAATTCTGTAAGCTGATCGGATGAAAATAAATTTTAAAAATTCAAATTGTTTGGGGTTGTGGGGAAATACGCAGTTCAAATCAGTTTTACAAATAACTTTTGACATTGCACAGGAAGTAGAAACTAAGCAAACCAAATTCTCTGTTTCCTATACTTCTTAAATATTCCTTATTTCATAATAACTAATAGTACGATTGGGCAAAGATCTTATCATCTTATTATTACCTTTTTTGTATTGAGAAATTACGTAAATGATTTTCAGAAAGACTGACATTTCTGTACCTTGTTCTATTATATTTAAGATAAGTGTATTTAAATTTATTATGCATAAATTATTTGAAATTAATAGAAAATGAATAAATTTGTTTCAGATCCACCATATTTTAAAATTACTTCCTTTATCCTTGTTATTGTCATTATTTTATAAACGGCAGTCTATTCAAATAACTATCGACGTGAATCTTCTCCCTAAACACCTACCAAGAAGAAATACTCCTATAACAGCAACTGCTACCATTGCTCCTGTTGCTGAAGTAGCAAATATGAATGCTAATGCTGTAGCACTGTGAAGTGCTATCCAACAAATGGAAACCACCAACCACGCAGTTAACCAGCTTGTTAATACCTGCAAACATTTAGTGTTTACAATATTATTGCAATATTAAAGGATATAAATATTTTCTTTAGAAAATTCACAAATTCTTTTTGTAGTATATTTTAATGACATATCATCTGATTTTAGAATCATCATATTTTCTGATTTTAGAATCAAAAAATCTCTAGAAAATGATTAATTTATTTTCGATATTCACTCGTTCTTTAAATAAATACGATTTGTCATAACCAACTTATTCATACAAATCTGTATTATTTCACTTTAAGGGATTTTTATACGTTGAGAATTATAGTTTTTTACTTAAGATTGTCAAAATTGGTGTAGTTTAAATTGAGTCGTTCATTTTTTATTCAAATCTTACCTTCAAAGACCATTGGACAGATGTGTTTAGGTATGGGGAGATCAAATAAAAAGTAATACCTAATAGATTCACAAGTTCAGAAAATAATCCTAATAGGAAGGAATACCTTTTCGTATTGCTAAAAGAAAATTAATATGAAAAATGTTTAAGTCGGTAACATATCAGCTGTAATTACTAAGAACTGTTTATTAGTAAAGCCACTTTTTTGTATTAATAGATTTAACCCTCGCATGCTATTTTATCTAAATTAAATAATACATGGAATTTAATAATTGTATTCATCTTTCTATCAGGTTTGAAACCTAGAGATTTAGGAAAAACTATAAATACGTATTTAAAATGTTTAAAAATGTTTTTATGTGTGTGCAAGAGGTTGCTAAAGTAGAAGCAATTTTATGTACTGTGACGTAGTATCACCAATGTGTCAACTGTCAGAAGAAATGGATCCCGTCATTTCACTCCCAACAAAATATATTTTCAGAATTTTTATATAATTATAGTTTTAATAAAATAAAAGGGGAAATTAACACACAAACTGTTAAGAAATAAATGAAATGCTTTGGAGCATTGCTACTTGAGGGTGAAAATATTCTTAATTAGGTTTCCTATGAAGTTATTTTATATTATTGAAAAATTATATTATTAAAAAACGAATTGTTTGCAATTTAGTTGAAAATTAACATATTGACAGGTTCAATGAACCTGAACACAGCAGACATATGTTCAGGTTCAATGAAACTGAAAAGAAGTACAATGTTTAGATTTACATTCTAATCGGCTATAGTAAGCTAAATGTTAAATAGTATCATGCAAAAATATTTAGGTTTCAGTACTTTACTAACTCCCCAAATAAGACCAACACTTATCATCACTTCGAGCGCGTTCCAGATTGAAAGAAATGCCATTAAGTTTGACGCCAATTTATGAGTCTCATTTATGGATGTACAAATTTTTCTGGTGCTCCCTGAAACATAGATTATTCATAAGACAATAATGTAGGTGCATAAATGAAATTATTTGAAAGTAATAAATGATCATTATTGAATTTTATCTTTGTTAACTATTTGAAATGTAGAAACAATATTTGATTTCCTTAATTTCGGAAACAATAATAATAATAATTGTCCGAATATAACAAATTCGCGAATGAGTTGGTTAGTATATTATAAAAAATGAGTGGATGGAGTCCGAAGAAGAAACAGCTTCGAAGCATACTTCGGACTTAAGCCGAATTACACATTAACCAACATGCGATGATTTGATGTCCGAAATGATTCGTTCGTCGACATTGATACAGTTTTATCTAAACCGTGTAGATCACGTGCAAATTAACCGGCTAATTCACTAATACGGTCAATTTGGGGTATAAGTCGTAATATACACATATTATAAAACTTCTTTGGTAATATGAGAAATTGAAGCTCTTTTCCACAGAAAATTTTTGAGTTCTCGGAAAACTTTATGTGAAGTCATTTAAAGCACATTAAATCGCAAATGCAATAATGTTTACAAATTGCTGCAAATGTGCATATTAATAGCGTGGGAGATATTTAAAAAATATTACATTTGGGTACTTTAAAAAAACAACTAATACACCAAAATTAATGTTATGGCATTATAAACCGTGCAATTAGCACTACTCGTTGGAAAAGCTAGAAGAAAAAAATGGAGTCGTATGGCGTGTGAGCTGCCTGTTGCGGTTCATTTGCACAGTTTCAAGATGGCGGTCCGCACTGCACGGTGGCTGAATGAAAATCAAAGGAGCCGTCCTCTACTTTCTGTGTAGTAGAACGGAGAATAGATATTCTGTGCTTCCACAATACTAACCCAAATGTGATGAGATACGCAGGAAAAGATAATGGATCGTTGCGGGTCGTTTATCTCAATGTTATTCGTGATAAAATAATTGAAGTAATTTTCCAACGTAAACCGGGAGAGGTGGCTCAGGGCATTAACTGATGTCGGTGCAGGACCTCTGACCGGAAGGTTGTAGTTTCGAGTCCCGACGATGGCAGGATTTTAGACAATATCTACATAGCTAGGTCGAGATCCATTGCTGTCTGGAGCACAATTCTAGCGGCCAGCTTGCTCTTATCAGTAATTTTCTGTGGTTTCTCCGATCAGGTGAATGCCAGACCTGTACTCTAACAAACAGGCCATTGACAGCGCGCGATTATACCTTCCTCGTCTTTTCCTGACCTCTTACATACGCTTACACTAACATGCGCTACACAACCACACATGCAGGAAGGCCGGTCGGGAGCTTAGAGTTTGTCCCAGCTGGGGCGGTGCCCTGCTGGTGGGTGATACATAGTTGAGGGAAACCCTCATAATTGATAGTAGGTCGGTCCCAGATCTCACCAACCAGCGGGGGAAGATCAACAACACCTTTCGAGGAAATAACAAATACTATGCTTACGGGACTAATAACCTTATCAGTTGTCGCGGGCGGAATCACAAATCAATCAAATAGACAACTTAATGGATTTAATCAGAACACTGGCTTTCGACGGCTTTTCCATCATCATCAGTCATAAATAATATAAATAAACTACAAAATAAGATATTATAAATAATTCATTCAATAAACATTCAAATTAACGTAATTACAAAACGAGGAATAAATATAAATAAAGAAATTACAATAGATAGTACATTTAAAATATTAACAATTAAAAACCAATATCAAATGAAATTATAAAAAGTGAAAGAGAATAAGTTGTGCCGCTTGCTTACCACGCTTGACGTGACAAAAGCCGGAAGACAGTCCTCAGAAAGAATTTGAAACGGTTTAAATAGGTTTCCGGGGTGTGGAAGTCGGGTTGGAAAGGGTCTGTTTAGTGTCATCTTGGAGTACGTATTAGGAGAAGTATGTGGTAATGTTTTAGTACGTATGGTAGATAGTAATGTATTAGGAGAAGTATTAGGTGATAATGTATTAGGAGGTGAGGGAGTCAGTTTGTGGGGAAGAATGTGCACCATTATTGATAGAGGGATGGCGGGGAACTTGGTCTCTTCGTTGAGGAGAGCATCAGATTTCTGCTTGGATTAAAAAATGTGGAAGATTTATTACGCGCTTCTTTTCCGTAATTAATGTTCTATTTCAATAATTTTAATATCTGGGAGGAAAGTGAGGCCGAAATTTATATGATGTGAGTATTTTATTTATATTATTTCTAGACTGATGATGACGGCAAAGACGTCAAATGCTAGCTATCTGAATAAATTCATTAAGATGACTTCAATTATTTCATTATTTAATACGCCGACAATACGTCATCAGCTTTCCCACAATTCAGTGTTATTTAACCAATCAGAACGGAGGCGGTTAGCCTCCACCCTTCAATCGACCTTGACGCCGGCGTTATTGATGCGTCAAGGCACGCAAATTGCGCTACAGGCAGCAGCACATCTCGTAATAATTCACCCTGATCTCAGTTGACATTCATTGTGCATGCAAGTACTGGCAAGTACATGATAAGCGGGGGAAAACGTTGACGACAGATCGTCTAACATTAACATGATTAAAATTTCCTTCGCAACAAAATGTTACTCGCAATGCAATCCATAGACCATGACTTTATCATCCAAATGGTAATCTTCAATTAATGGGTTTACTTTGAAACGTTTCTCTCTGATTTTCAGTAATGATAGATGGTAATTCTGGAAATGTTTATTTCGAAGGAAAATCAGCGTGTGGAATACGTGAGTACATGTATTTATGAAAATTATAAATTCGCTGTATGCCATGCAGAGCACTTTAGTACCTCTCGCATTGTCTATATTTTGTGAACTTACAAGGACATGAGCCACCACTGATTAGAGGAAATGCGTAAAGTAAAATAACTAAAACACTAAGATAAGATTTGGTTAATGTTTCTCATCCCATCCAAAACATCGAACAGCAATAAGAACCTATTCAAATGAAGATTACTCCAGAGAAATAAAAATATTAAAATTCTACCTCCCCTATTTTCAATATGAATTATCAAGGTCATGTTTGTAATGTTCCTAATACATAACATATATCAAAGATATTAGTTATATTAAAAACATTGTTGACATTCCTCAATTTTTTCTTTTAAATGCAGTATCTCACTTGGACTTAAGTCTGTACAATTAGTTTATTCACAAAATTTTTACATCGGTACTTACCATTCACAATCTCCCAGTTACAATTCATTGAACCATAGGCACGGCTTGCAACAATTGCCAGTGCCATGAATATGAGACCAATAATCTGAAAGACACAATTTCAATTACATATGGAGAATTTCAGCAAAATCTCCACTATTGAAACTGAGTATAGGTAGTGGATATAACACAATAATATTTATAAAATATTATTTACATGATTAAAATGTGTGAAAATAAATTACTCAGATTTTCAATTGTTTTTGCTCAGTGTTCAACTACATTAGTAGATAAATTGATCTTGAGTGTACATCTTCTTTATGTATTGTTTCGGACTGCTAAGTGGCTATTCCTATTATGTACATTTCCAGATGAGCAGACATAACCCCCCCCCCGCATCAAAAATAAGAACCGTGCGCACGATCTGAAGAACAGCACATTATTTTTTTTGTCCAAAAGTTTAATCATTACCCAGAATTCACTTTTCTTCCATTCAATAGTGCACACGTCCATTCAATAGTGTACCTAGGACTGTACTTCACTGCGGCGCAACCAGGAACTATATTAGGTGGTGTGACTTGCGTTAATTGCTGCTCCCCCTCGCATGTGTGAGTCCTCCGCTCTGATCTACTTTCTAGGGGGCGTTCACCTCCGGCCGGGCTCCGTTTTCGCGACCTTGCATAAGGACGATGGTTATCATTACAGCGACGACTGTAAGGGCCCACGACCAATGGTTGACTGATTTATCGATGTTTACGAACACGTCAACTTCTGTAGTCTCTGTCCCGTTAGTGTAGTGTTATTTCACTGCGGAGGATGGTTGAGTTCCTACTCCGTTGGATGGTAGGATGCGGTGCCAATCTACACGCCGACTTGATGTGGATTTCCCTCCACCAGATATCTCCCAGAGGGTAACCGCCCCTGCTCTACGCTCAAAGCTCTAGGCTCCCGACTGGTCTCTCGTAATATGTGGTAATATAACGAGTGCATGTGAGTGTGCGCGTTTGTGGGAGTGGGAGAGTGTATGTAGGGGGAGAGGATAGAATTAGGAAGAGGAAGAATAGATCGCGCGCGGTCCGTGTCGCGTTTGTTAGTGTACTTCACCAGGGTTCATCTGGTGTTGATCGGAGAAACCACGGAAAACTACCGATCAAGGTATTTGGCCGCTAGAATTGTCCTCCAGACTGCGGAGAGGCTGAATTTGAAGTAGCTTTTCAGAAAGGTCGAATATCCGCCGACGGGACAATAGGATCTCCCGATTAGTCAGTGCAGAGACAGCGCCAATGACCGCAAATGCTGTTATGAGCGAAATTCGGACAGTACCGCGGCCGGTGGTACAGTTGGTAGAGCGAAAGAAAAGACAAACATTTCCTAACCACGTAGTCTGTGACAAAAAAAAAAAACTTCCAATTTTCGTACGCTTTAAAGTTTTGAAGTGCAATATGGCGTTTTGGGCAGCGGATGTCTACCTCTTGCGTAATGTACGCTTTTACGCGAGTTTGCTTGGATGCCTTAAAGCTTGGAAAACTTAAACATGAGCAATTGGAAAACTGTTACTGCTAATCTACAATGTTGCATTTTAAAATATTTATTGACGTTCGTCTTGTGTAATTACAACTTGTAGTTTCAATTTTGCGCGGGAAAGCTACGACCTGTGTATGTGTATATTTGAAAATATAATTTTTATTGACTTAAATATAAAATTAAAAGAAAACATTGCCAGCACTTTTCATAACCAGCAATAAATCGAAGTATTTAAATATACATGTTTAAAAACACAATAGTTTTTTCTTCCCTCTAAAGAAAAGTAGGTACCTAATACAAAATAGACTAATCTCATGTATTAAAATTAAACAAATGGAAAAAGAAGTAGAAACTGAAAATTCATGACATTTACCATTGAGAAAACTCCCACTAGAATGCTGCCTGTTCGCAAAGTACAACAGCAGCACTTGGAAGGTAGCAAATGCGAAGGGCAGGCCATGTTGACATCCCCTGAAATTAGAATCATCAATGACTCAAACAAGAAACAGAAAGTTTTGCATTCGTAGAGTACTCTTAACACATATTAATTGATTTTTTAACTTCTTTTTATTTGGATGTAAGAGGCCTTTGTATTATTCTATTAATAAATATCTTATAGGGAAATTAAAAGGCGTAGAATTCCATGAAAAAAGGTATGAAAGAATATTCCCGAAAAGATTTCAGAATTTCAGAAAAAAATAGTCAACACACTAATAATGAATGTAATTGTAATAATTAACATAAAATGAAAAACCAACAAAAATAATTTAAGGATAGAATCCTTTTTGGAATATTGGATAATTTTCTAAATTCACATCTACATTTTATCCAAAATTGAGAAAAGTCATCTACTATAACATTTGTCATAAATTACTTTGAATAGCTTTGCAAAATTCCAATCTATTTGATATGACAAACCTTAATTACGCGTCAAACCAGCAACAAAGCAAAGGAGTGAATTAAAAAATATACCAAGGAGTAAATACTATGTAAAAAGTTAATATATAAAACGTATAAGGAGTAAAGACACACACTTTGCGGCATGTCTAAATTGAGAGAAAAATGCAATAAACTCGTATTGTACTAACAGACCCTTGAAATTTCTTATCTGTCTGGTACGAACATGGATTAACAGCCAGGCTAGAAACGGGAGTGAAGTATCGAATAAAAATTAGGAAGTAAATACGAACTACACGAAAACGATCAGAAGGATATAACATAAATATACATGCTCTCTCACTTACCTGCGTGCCGGAAGCGCGGGAAAATTTGTAATAAAAACGTCTTTAACTGCGACCGGAAAATTTCGATCTGTCAGAAATTGGACATGCATTTACAGCCAGGAAAAAACGGGATAAAAAAGTGAATATAAATAAATAAATAAATAAATAATAACTAAACTTAATCAAAAAAGGAAACAAGTACGTAAGTACACACGCGTGCCCAAATATTGGCGTGTCACGACGAGACGGAATTTGTCATAAAAACATCTCTGCCGGACCAACCTGCCAACCAACTGCTGCCGGAAAATTCCGATCTGCCTGGAATGGAATTGAATTGACAATCAGGTCAAAAACAGGATACAAATAGTGAATATAAATAAATAAGTAAATATGAACTAAAAGCAAACAAACAAAAGTAAATAATTACATAATTAGACTCTCTTGTTCACCTACCGGTGCGTCCGAGGCAAAATAAAATTTGTAACAAAAACATCTTGTACTAACTGGCACCGAAAATCCCAATCTATCTAGTTTCGCCCTAAACTGACAGCCGGAGCAAAATAATTAGTAAATAAAAACACACTTCAAGTAAACAAGCAAAAGGAAATAAGTACATAAATACACCAGCGTGCTCACGTACAGGTGTATCCGAGACGAAGGAAAATTTATAATAAAACAATCTTGTACTACCTGAGACCGGAAAATTCCGATCTGTGAACCTGGATTGACAGCCAGAGATGTAACAGCAAAATAGTGAATAAAACATAAATAAATGCAAACTAAATGTAAATAAACTAAACGAAATAAGTATACGCATTCTCACATACTGGCGTGTCCGAGACTAGGAAAAATTTGTAATAAAAAAAGTCGTGTACAACCCTCACCGGTCATTCCTATCTGCCAGGTATGGACCTGGACTGACAGGAACAAAATACTGGGAAAAAATACTTACCAAACGTAAACAAACAAAAGGAAATCAGTCCACGAATACACACGTGTGCTGACTTACCGGCGTGCCGAAGCGAGGGAAGCTTTTGACGCCTGGCGTCGGGCACGAGTAACGCCGCGCGGCACTGGAACGCCGCGGGCGGTGGCGGGGGCGGTGGCTTGGCGCGGGTGGGGGCGCGGGCGCGCAGTCTTGCGTCTCCGGTAGCGACGCGTCGCGCGCGCGCGCTCGCTCGCGCGTCACACCCACGTGACCCTGTGTGCGCGGGGGCGATTGCGCCCCGCCGCGGCCTCCCTCACGCCAAGGGCGCACTCGACCGGCGTGGGGGCGAGGTCGCCTTTTTTGCGTCGCCACTGCCACGGGCGCCGGGTCACCATTGCCACGGGCGGATCCATACCGAGTACGTTTGCCTTTGTCCCCTCTACAGTAACCCTGTGAAGGCGGGAATTTTTTTTTTTTTTGTAGTTCGCGTACATTTAGCTGCTGCCTTATGCGGCTTAAGCAGCTAGAAGGGAAGATTTGTCTTAATAACTAATAAATAACTAAAAGTTTAATTTAGTCTCATCCTAAAGTAAAAATATATGCACTTTGGATGCCTAACTTACAGTAAGATGAGTTCTTAACTAATTACTGCAGGAATTTTACTTTTTTGATGAATGAGATTATTTCCCTACATTCATAAATCATTCGCACTTGCTTAACATTACAGCCATTAATTTTACGCATTCACTCCCACTGCACTACACTAGTAGAATTCTGTTCCCCACGGCCCTAATTCGACTCAGGGTCTGTGGTGCACAGGCCCATTGGGAGGCGTGGCAGGTGGGGCGCGGCGTCGCGTTCCCGGCGCGTCCCACGGCCGATGGCGAGTCTTCCCCCTCGCGTTCGGCTGCCTCCGCTCGCTCGCACAAGGCAGCAAGCGTGTCGTGGGGCAGCGCGCGGAAGGAGAAGGCGACGTGTTTCCGTAGACTTACCGCAGATAGGACTGATGTGTGTCGCTGACGTTGGACGTGTAGCCCTCGCCCTAGAGTGTTTGGAAACGCTTCAGAATGTACAGTAAGTCGAGTGGAACACTCACGTTTGCTTTGTGCTTCCCTTTTTTTGTTTAGGGTGAATTGTAGTTGGTAAATGTTTTGATAATACTCAGTTTGTCTATTGGCAATCAATTTTTAATAAATTGACTAATGCCAGAACGCACCAAAAATGTTTTCATCCAATTATTACTTAACAATAATAACTAATGGATGGTTGAATGTGCTAGTTTAAGAATACCTAGGGATAGCAACCTTACTTTAAGATTAGCACACGTTTTCTTTTTGTGGTTAAACAGTCTCCGAATGTGTTTTTAAGATAATTACTAAATATCTTCTTTTTCCTCAGAATGAGAGTAAACTGCTGAGTTTGTCTTTTCTATTCCTAGTCACAATGCTAAAATGTCATAATGTCTTCTTTTTTTGCGAGTGTACAATGGAAATAGGACAGGTATACATTGAAAATCATGGAAGGTAGAATTTCTCTGCAGTACAATTTCAAGCATTTTGACTGCACAGTATGAAAACAATGAATACTTGTAAGAAACCAAGGAGGAAGAAATATTCCTCAATCAAATATTATTAGTATTAACTTCAAGTTTATCATAAATGTGGTATATCCGTTAATTATTGAAAAAAGTTATATTCGCTACTTTCTAAGTATATCAAATTAGATAAACATAGTGCATAGGTTGAATACCTTGATTTAATGTTTTTAATATAAATAATTCCCATGATCTGAAAATTCAGAAATTGGCTTCACCATCGTGATTCCAATAAGGTCTAAATAAAAACAATGACTATAAAAGTATTCCATGTGACGAATAACGTCCAATGAGTTCTCTCTAGGACAAACAATCGGTTAGCTACTGTAAAGAAATTGGAACATATAATCACGTCTTGTGCTAAAGAAACAGTACAGTTGACCGCGTTCTCTCATGTAGTACATGTCCAACACACTGGCAATTAATTATTCCAAATGCTGATAACGAACAATATCAAGGAATTTGAGTGGTTTTGCTGAGGGAAAGGTATTTTATTTTTCATTTATTTGTGTTCGACATAAATCTTGCGGGAGATTTTGTAGGATACAAGAGAATGCATATATCTGAAGTACAATGTCACAAATGTCTTGTCACTTGTGTTGGAGTCGGTCAACAAGTACATTAAGGATGCAGTTAATTGTGTGTCTATGTCCATTCCTGAAATGCAAGTCCTTACTTATCTTAGTGCCTAAGTTCTGACGAGTGAACTGGTGAAGTGGAGCTTCTGTTTAATTTTTATGGTATTTATAGTCGGGTATTAATTTATTTCTTTAGTTTAATTTTCCAAGGGCAATACTACCTTATTGATTATTACACAAAATCTAACGGAGATTGAACTCGCGGATACACTACAGTTTTTGGTGTTAGGAAGGACAGATTATAGAGTCGATGATGGTAATAAATAATGAATGTTTTTGAAAAGGATTTGGCTGGTGGATAAGGTCGAAAAATGAAAGACACACGCGACCATCCTGCAAGAATCTTGAACAATCTTTCACAACACTGAAGGAAGGTAGGAGGAATATAATCTTCATTGTTAACTTGGTTTCTTACCGTTCTCACAACTTTTAAGTCAATACTAATCTGATTTTGATAATCAAAGAATCAAATAATCTATTTTCTGCCTGGAGGCGTAGTAAGCGGAAAACTCATTTAAAAATCAATCGGTTGACACTAGCACGGAGCTAGAGGGTAAATTGAAGGTCAAAATTTAAACAATAATTTTCTCTTGTCCACCTTAAGAATAGAAGTGTTAAAAATAACGGATTGAAAGTTATGTCTTCAAATAAAACGTATGAAAGCATTTGGAAATGTAAATTACTAAAATTTCATAGAACTATCTAGATATAACGTTTTTCAATCAGTTGAATTTTGTGCTTTATAATTAACGGTAGTTTTGTCTACCACTACAATCTATTGAGGAGATTGCTACGCGCACCAGAGTTTTAGCAGGAACAACTGTGAGCGCAGCTCAGTGTGTCACGAGTGGCCCTAAATGAGTCACACGAAGGTGTTCAGGGGGTGTGTGTGTGTGTGTGTGTGTGTGTGTGTGTGTGTGTGTGTGTGTGTGTATTGACATAGTACGCTTCCGCAGGGAACCAGAACTTTGTCCAGAGGTCATCGATTATTCCGCCCGTTGCGTTCCGCAGCCCATGGTCGCGTGGTGAGCACTGCTGCCCGGTATCAAAGCCCGCAAGGTTGGGCGCCACCAAGGCAAGGTCAGCTGTGTGACCTCTTTGCTTCTCAGAACTCTTCCTCATCCCTTTGCTTTCCTTTCTTGGCCGGGCTGGGCATAAAATTTAGTCCTTGTGCTTCATGAAAACGTCTTCAGAACAAAAGTTAATCTTGGAAGAAAATCAAGCACTATAAACAATTCATTTGGAATATTAACCTTTAGCTGTGCTGGTGGAGTCTGTGAGACCTACACCAACATATTTTTGTGAATAATTTAAATATTTTTAAAATTAATTTCTCGGCATTTGTGTATTCCTTTCAAATTGTGGGGTTTGCGACCTGAAGAGATACAATGTTGTTACGTTTGTGCGGTGACGAGTTATTGTCTATTTCAACGTCTCCGTGTATCCTAGATCCCACCAGCATAGTTACGTAAGTTTTTGAATTCATGTTTTTTTTAATGTAGTCCGTGTTATTTAGTAGCGATTTTTATTAGAAAACGGATAGAAAATTCATTGTGTATATTGCAAAGAGTTTATTTTGTATTTCAATTGCAGTTTTACATTTGAAATATCGGCGATCACCGACAAAGAGATCCTGGTAGTAACAAATTTCGGATCAACTCGTGGTTAGAACAAAATCTGGCAGAAAGTTCTGAAAATATTTGCATTGACTGCCCCAAATTTATTTGTTTTAAATATTCAAACTTTGTTTCAATTATTCTGCTTTGGAAATTCAATAACATTCTAATAATTTTTTTCTTGTGTGTTTAACAATATTCATGCATTTTTATTCTTATATTTAATTTATTTTCTTTTACCGAAATATAAAACGTATCACAATGCTGAATTCTATTAAATATACTTTTCGTTGAAAAATATTGCGTCCCGCGAATTATTTTCTACCTTGGGCCTGTGAGATCCCATCAACACATTTGAAGGTTAAAATATTTCAAATTACGATTTATACATTTTAAATATAAGACGGCTTGTATATCCGCTCCGATAATTCCTCCAAAGCAAGCAATCTACAAGCAAGCATAATAGATTTGAGGCTCATCAATGCCCATTACATTTTTTTTATTATTTTTATTTACCTGTGTATTTCTTCTTACCTGCTTCGCGTGGCGCGATCGGCGGTGATTTTCTTAATAATATGTTTTATTTGTTCTATGCAAATTTCATATGCCAGTGGTATTCCCAAATTCTAACAGAGTAGGAGTGTAGTTTATAAGAGTTACACTATTCACAAAACTAGGAATCATTGGGCAAAACTAATGCAATTTTTTGAACCAATGGCATCAGAATATACGGCACTATGTAAAACGTGGAGGTATCAGAATGTGTTTTTAACAAAACAATGGTCGGACGAATGTTTTAAAGCTTTCAAATGATGCTTAGAGTTAAAACAATTATTCAGAAACGTTGATCTAATGTTTAATGTCACGTGGCGCAGAGAGTCGTTCAACTTTGTGAATTCGAGGGCTGCGGAATCAAACCTTGGACGCGTAATTGTTCCACAGTGTAACGTTAGTAAATGAATAATTACAACTTTCTCCACCAAATCGATTCTTCATTTAATCACTTTTGTATACTAAAACCATCATCATGTAGAGTGTGACACACTAAAATCCTGATTTAAAGTACAAAACTAATATAAAAACAAAACAGATTCTGTGAAGTTGGTGGTGCGTTGCCAATGTAGGAGTACAAGCTTTCTCCCAAAGTTTTCTCTTTGTCCTGGAGTAAGCGGCGGCTCGCGTGGCCAGCTCTGCAGTGACCTAGAGATTGTCTTAACAACAAGGTGACGGGGGCGCCAGAGCGCGTGCTCACATCGATTATGCTCTTCCACTGCTGCAACATGTTCTGCTTCGGAGCTGTAACGGGGTTCACTATTTCTGCTTTTTTTCTTTTACTAGATAGGCTACCCATGGTTACATACCATCACCCTCCTTCGTTTTCTGAATATCATGATTTGTGATTGATTTCATCGTTTTTTTCTCCTCACCCCTTCCGTGTGTTCCATCACATTTTCATTACCATGAATCACATTTATTTCGCTTGTCACCTGCTCCGAACATTCGCGTTTACCCCCAGTTTAAAGAGTTCTATGTAAATCAAGGATCCTATTTGAAATGGTTCGAAGGTTACTTAGGAAACATTAGACATCATCGCGGCAAGCATTAATATTAGGCCAATTTTTCTAATATTGTGCAAATAGAAATCGTTCTAGTATTAAATATTATGCATAGTTTAATTGAAACAATGGCTTAATTTTAATTCCTTAAACACAAACAACTGCATAAAAGAATGAAATTAAAAATAAACAAAAACTATTATACCCCGAACAATTTAATTTTGAAGAGCAGTCTGCAATGTTACAATATTTCACAAATAATAAAAAATAAAAAAGTCTAGAGAAAAATTGAAATTAACAATGAAATCAAAATAAAACTTTAAACGGATCAGTTTTAGGAAGAGCTGTGCTCGACCAGTTTCATGTAACAGTGAACGAATGTCCACCTCCAGTATTGCTTCTTATGTCAAAAGATGCGGAATGGAAGAATGAAGAAGTCGACTTTGTCATTGATTTTTTGGCACATGTAATGGTGACGTGAATATGTGCTCCCAAGCACTGAAGACATTTTTTTGTCCAAATTCTTTAGTTTGGGTAATTTTTGTTAGATAGAAGTTTTAAAGAATGTTATGTCTTTTCTTGTGTGGTCTGTATGAAGCTATCCCCTAGTAAATCAAATTGTCTCGCATCTCAAATTGTAGTTGCGGTTTTTGTTTCGCTGAACTACTTTTGATCGCTCTTAACTACTAACTATCAACTTAATTTTCTCATCTTTGCCCTATTAAAATAAATACAGATTTTTATTGTGCTAAAAATACATTTGTATTTTTCTTAAGAAAACAATTGTTTTGAAAAAGCTTTTCCGGTTTTTAATAGTCGCGCGGGTGGCCGTTGGAAACCCATTAATCTAAATAGTGTATTGGAACTCTAAATGAGCTCCTCAGACTGACTCTTTGTATATTATGTATGAATAAAAGATAATCTTAAAAATGTTACCAGAATACCAACGTTGCGATTGCTGCGATTGTTCTTGAGGCTTAATGTAAAGTACCCCAAACATTAGAAAATTCGTTTCAAATTCAAAAATCATGATAATATCAGGTAAACCAATCGAGAAATATCAATTAGGGTATCCTTACGATTTAGCCGCTAGGGTTGTTCGCAGACATATGTTCAGATAGACATTTTGCCGAAAAAAGGTCCAGATCAAAAAACCCAAAACGTAGACCAGAATTATCCAAATTTTGTATCGGGAACCTAAAATACCAATTTTTCTGCCGTAAAATTGCAGTTTTTCGCTGTTGTATTACAAAACTTTTTTATATTACGTATGCAGTATGCTAGAAAGTAAAAGTATTTATTCGTTATAAACTGCCAAAAACTGTTACAAATCCTTTCTGTATTATAAAGTGGGAGGATTCTTTAACTGTTTGATACTTCCGTGTCCGTCACCTTCTATGGTTATTAGTCCCTTAAGTGTAGTGTGTGTTTTCATCGCTGACGGTGATCTTCCGCCAATGGATGGAGAGTTGGTGAGATCCGGCGCCGGCGTACGTCGCCCTGCGATGGTTTCCCCAACCTGGCATCTCCCATCATCAGGGCACCGCCCCAGCCGGGGCAAGCTGTTAGATCGTACACGTAAGCTTCCGCGGTCCGAGTTCAGGACTTCTTAGCTGTCCGGGTGACGCCGCGTCGTTGACTGAGAGGCCGACGTTTCGCCTGACATATCGCAGGCTTCCTCAGGGTAGTGACTCTACCCTAGAAGTCAACCTGTAAGGTCTTCTCTTGTCTCCAGACACGTGGTAATGTAGTGCATGTAAGAATAACTGTGTGTAAGGGGGTGAGGAAAGGACATGGAAGAGGAAGGAAAGTCCGCGGCCCGTTTGTTGGGGTACCACTCCGGCATTCTCCTGGAGTTGATGAAAGAAACCACAGAAAAATATCGATTAAAGCAGCTAGGCGCTAAGATTCATCTCCAGACAGTGGCTGAATTCGACCTAGGTATCTAGTCTCTCTTTTTCTCTATCTTTACTTCTCTGTTTCTCTGCCTGTATTGCATTTATGCCAACCTCTTTTCTGACTCTTTTAATATTCAGTTATGCATTTAATAAACAATTCAATCGTATTGATAGTTCTAAAGTTCTTTAGTGATTTCAAACTTGTTGAAAGGAAGATATTAAAGGAATCTAAAAGAACATTTTGAAATATTAGAAACGTTATTTTTATTGTATTGTGGATTAAAACTACTAACAACTACGACAAATTCTTACTAATCATCGAATCTAGATCAATCCTCCAAGTATATGTTACAAAATATTTTTAATGTATGTAAGCATTTTATAAACTATTAAATATATTTTAAAGAGAGTGTTTAAGTGTATTTGCACAAAAAATTCAAGTTACCTAGTATCATTTATAGAAAACCTTATGTATGAAATAGTTTTGCAATTACTCTCCATATAAGATAGATTATCTCATTAAAGAATTTGAAAAATTAATTGTTGAAGTTAGAAATAATATATTGTAACTCCTTAATCATCCTGAATTATTACTTCTGATACGCTCTTAGAAATGATACTGCTTTCAGAAATTATTACACAGGTCGTATAAATTGAAACTTTCTTTCCTCCTATTGTACGGAAGCATATAAAATTCCTTCTAGTAAAATTTAATATCTCAATGAAATAAGTAACAAGTTAAAATTTGCAATTGTAACTTCAAATAAAAATAATTTATTTTCTTTAATTTTATTCGTGTTGAATATTCCAAGCATAATTTCCATTTCATTCAACGTTGTTAAAAAAATATTTCTTAAATTATTGACACATTGCTTCACATGTATCAAAATTTGTTGGCACAACTAACGCAGCGAAGTACTCTACAACTAATTCAATGAAAACGGTAATGAACAGACACAAAGCTCTTTTACATAATACACATGATTTTACTTCACTACTTCATTTTCAGAAGTAAACATTTTGGAGTTTGTTTCATCACAAACTCCCTCTGGAAAAGCCTTTGTTCCCAGTATATTATTTGTCTGTAGTATTGGAGCAGAGACTCCATGAAATCCAGAGTCTGGCTCGCCAAGCACAGCGTAGCGAAAAGATGAATTAAGCATTTCTTTACGATAACTTAGTACTGTAAGCATCGCTAATAGAGCCGTTCCTGAAATTAAAATAAAATTGCTTTAGGAAAAATATTCAATTCTTTAGATTGTAATGTTTAGAAGGTTTTAACATATTGGCCCATAATTGGAAATGTTACAAAGAAAATAACTATGTTCAATGCCTAATGATTAATGGCATAAACTAATAACAATGCTCCACTAATAATATGTAAAGCGGAAATTACCAAGAAAAAATATTCCTAATACAGCTGTTAGAGTTATCACCCATCCGTCCCTTGCAGCAAAGGCATACGCAATGGCTAGTGTACTATGTAGAACAATCCAAAAAGTTGTCACTGCTATCCACCCAGACACCCAACTTTCTAATCTCTGTAACCAAAATAATATTATTTACAAAATATTTTGATATTTCTTTTGACACTCAAGTGGCAGTATGGCAAAGTAATTCGGAACTTTCGCACACATATGTACAATGAAAGAAATTTGTCATACTTTAGTAGCACCCCATATCAGACCAATACTCAGCACCGCTTCAGTGGCATTTAACATAGCAAGGATAGCGACCAGATTCACCACCAATTTGTGTGTTTCACTGGTATTTATGCAAACACTTTGCCCTGAAAAGAACATTTGAAATTAGTAGTTATCTAATTGTTTATTACTTTAATATTACCTAGTAGGTATGCTATTTGTCTCTTTCACTAAACTTCCCTTTCACTACTATGTATAACATACTCAGTTCTATTAATGTTCGGCCCTAAGTCGCCAACCTGATTGAGTTTTTTCTGGGTTTAGAACTTGTCCCCCTCTCGGTCTCTCTTCCTTCTCTTCCTGTTTTTCCTCTTCATTTTTATTTATGTTTCCTTTCTCCTATTTTTCCTTCTCTTTCACTTTTCTCCGTAAATTGATGATATTCGGCCCGAAGCCGCCATACTGATTGAGGCTTTCTGGGTTTACTCAATTGCTTAAAGCGTATCCCGGGATGGTCTCAACATTTGTTCGCACAGACGTAAATATACAGCTCGTTCTCCCCTCTTAAAATATTACTACTCTATATATATGTAAATTCAGTGGTTAGGCAGAAGAGCAGGTCCTATAGCCTGAGCCTCGTCTTTAATGAAGACATTATTATTATTATTATTATTATTATTATTATTATAAACACAATGACCAGCCGGTCAGGTCAATAGACTCACGGACAGCATTGTTGTTTTGTGGGGCGGTCCCGGGAAAGCTCAGGCAGATCTAGTAAGCTACGTACAATGATAGGAATGCGTCATACTCGCCACATGTCTCCCTTACCCCCAGGCGTGAATACGAAATAAAAACAGGCCCCAGCCTAGGAACTCTGCTGTCAGGAAAAAGTCGGATTAATCAGACAGCTGGCGCCCGCGGAAACACATGACGTAGCTCCGCCTCGAAAAGAGTGTCTCAGCAGTAGAGGTCTGTAGCAGCCTGACCTCCGCGTGGAGGGGGTCGAATGCGACTCGTGCCCTTCCCCTCCTCTAGGCGGTTCACATCTGCCCAGATTGGCCCTGCCGACATCCTTCCACCCCTCCGTCGGTTCAGGTCAGCCCTTTTTGGCCCTGCCGACGCTCCTCCAGTCTCCGGGGTCCAGCTAGCAGCACTCCGCCCTTACTCCCTACCGCTGCGCACTCCGAGTAGTCCTATGACCACCGCAAAGCCGTTCTTCGGAGGACCCTCCTCGCCGAGGCTGGGCTACGTCAGATGCCGACTCTCTTGTAAGGAAAATCGCCCAATTAAACTGCTGTTTGCCACGACCTAATTCATCCCTGTTCTCATTGCTCCCTCACTGCAGCCCGGAGACCTATACGAGAATAGGAAACGGTCCGGAGGGCCCCTATCCTACTTTCCCTCTCTCCGCACGTATTGCCAGACGCTTCCCCTACGACACAGCTCTAAAATGTACACACGTATGTACACGTACATATATACTAACACCATGACTAATGGAAAATTATAAACGAATTTTAAATTGAGCATATCATTAACAGAAGAAACAAAGCAACTTAAGCATTACGTTAAATTGTTTAATTTTTATTACATTTTATTTCTAAAATGTTAAAGAATTGTTATACTATTAAATAATTTTTAAAGAAAATTCGTTTGAATAATAAATAAGCCAATTCTAAAATCAAATAAAATTGAGATATTGCTATTCACTTAAGAGTTTTGTGAAACAAGAAAATAGTTGAAAACATATTTAATTAATACATTCAAAACAAACACATTTACTACAACAAGAATATGAAATTGAAATACTTTGATTAGTTCAGGGAGTATCTCCTAAAATGATTCAGCTTATTGAACATTTTTTCATGCAGTACTCTTTGCAAAGTAATTTATTTAAGATGATTGAAATTATTTTATTTCAATGAGTCCAGGAAATATGGACCGGCTTATTTCGCTGTTAATACTTACAAGCCCCATTAATCTCAGCACCAGAACAGAAATGCTTATTCAGCAGACTACCACCAGCAGCTGTAAGCCCCAGGAAGGTAATCGAGATAACCTGGGCAAAATCGAAATTTCATTACTTTCTTAACCTATTTACTTGCCAAGACTTCTTGTAAGTGAAAGCCTTGTATGTAGTATTTCAATGTAATGTAATTTTGGCACATCTGGTATTTATCTGTGATGGTACCCTTAGAACTGTATTTGTAGCAATAAATAATACATTATTTTACTTTTCATAATCTTCAAAGGAATTGCAAGGAACCGCGATTTCCATTTTAAAATTAAACATTATACATAACATTAAACATAAACCAATACATCAGGAAAAGCATGAACACGGTTATGATTTATAAATACAAATACACCTTACGCAGAACTTAATAATCAAACTTAAGAATTCAAACAAGATTGCAATATAAGTTTTTAGCATTAAACAATATTAAAATTCAAACAATTTATTTATACTTGCATACCGTTGCTAGCCCTCGCGTATAATTACGTCTATAAAGGAACAATTCTCAACATTCCGGAATGCAATAGTTACCAATAATGATTGTTACGTAAATGCAATCAACTTTTGATTACAAAAAGAAGTAATTAAATGTAAATTATTTACTCTTTGTTTTCAAAAATAAAGGTTTGGCAGATACAAAATTTTGTTTTATCAAATTCAAGAAAGCAGGTAAGGAAGAAAATGAAAATGAAGAGGAGAACAGAAGGAGGAGGAAGGAGAAATTAATTAATTGCAGTATATTTACCAGAGTGAAATATCCTATGCTTATAGAACTCGTACGCAAACTGCAACCACAACATTTAGATGGTAGCACAGTGGTGGAGATGGCCATTTTCTAGCTATTCTGAAAGAATACTTTATAATTATAACATTCTCGAATTATCTAATCATATTTATATGGCTACAATTGACGGATTACCAGGTGGTAACAATAAGCCTACAGATTTTCAATTCATCTACATTTGCAATACAAACACGATTACAATATAAAAACAATTTACAATATAACACAATAAAAGAAGTTACAACTACGTCTACTACTTCAGCCAAAGATGAAACAGTACAAGAGCTGCCTCTAGAGACCCACGCAAAATCAACCTTTAACATTAATAATACCTTTTTTTAAAAAAATGTACAAATACATACGTACATGTCATACTATTTCTGTACAAATGGACCATCCATCTGATTAATTACGTGCGTACCTGTATACATACGAGAATACACACACACACACACACACACACACACACACACATATATATATATATATATATATATATATATATATATATATATATATATATATATATATTACAGTGTAAGGATGGTGTGTACACACACATTATAATCTGGCTATTGGTAGCTCTTTGGCATGCAGGCTTTCCACCCACGGTCCAACCCCGAGTTTGATTCCCCGGTCGGGGGAAAATTAATTGTGGGCTTTCCTTGAAATATCCCAGTATTTGTTGCTGTGTGACGATGAGAAAGCTCACTTCTCAGGCTGAGAATACCAGAAATACAATGTAGGGATGGCTATGTACTAACCACACTTTCCACTTCACTCATGGCCGGAATGTTGGGATGCTTCTGGTAGGTTTCAGTTCGTAGAGAGCTGTTGTGCCAAAGTACATACATACACACTCACATTCTAATACGTGAATTCTCACTCACACGTCCCGGGAGAGGTAGCTCAGGGCATCATCTGACGTCACTGCAGTGCCTCTAACCGGGAGGTCTTAGGGTTCGAGTCCCGACGGTGGCAGAATTTTCAACACTAGTCAGATAGCTAGGTAGAGTTCTGTTGCGGTCTGGAGGAGAATCATAGCGGCCGGCTTTTCTGATCAATAGTTTTCTGTGGTTTCTCCGATCAATATCACCAATACACGTCAATACCAGACGAATGCCGGAGCAGTGCCATACCAAACGGGCTATGGACCGTGCGCGATCTTTCCTTCCTCTTCCTTGTCCTATCCTTTCCCTACACACACTTACACTTACATGCACTACACTACCATACATGCCGGGAGACTTGTCGGGAACTTAGCTTGCCCCGCTGGTGGGAGATACTTGGTTGAGGAAAACCCCATTGGCCGACGGTAGGTCGGCGTCGGCGGTCGGAGATCATCATCCCGCACAGGAAGATAACCGTCACCTCACGAGAGAATGATGCAACACACTTACGGGACCAATGTCCGGACCATATAGGACGAGGTTATAGTATTCTTAAAGTAATATTTCGGTTCTAACATTAAGAAACGGAAAAAATGAAAAAACTGAGATTTTTTAAAAAAGAAACGGGGCGACAATAGATGGCAACAAGAGGAAGGGGCAAAACTGAAAAGCTAGCACAGACGAGAGATCACAGTAAAGTACCTAGTACGAGACAGTCGGTGCCATTCTATTGCACTATTATTTTTAACACTTTCCCGATGCATGACTTCATATATGTTACGCTACAGTAGTAGGTAGCTGATCACAACAATATCATTTGTTGCCAATGTCCATTCGAACATCAATTATTATTTTTGTTCATTCGACTGCTTCAAATGTAAAGACGCATGTATAATTGCCAATAGACGGGAACAGGCTCGCACCTTATCTTATACCCCCTCCTATTTCATCCTTACGGTCCTTTCTATATGTAATGAAACATGGTCTATGTTTCTGCGTTGTTTACTTCCTCCGTGAGCCAAGAACCTGTGCCTATTATTCTGCCCGCTGTCTCGACCCACGCCATCATCTCGTCCAGCTCCGCCGTCTCGTCCTGGGCCCCCGTTTCGTCCCACGCCGCCATCTCGTCCCGCACCGCCATTTCGTACCACGACGCCATCTCGTCCCGTGCCGCCATCTCGATCTGCACCGCCATCTCGACCCACGCCACCATCTCCAGTGCTGCCGTCTCGTCCCGCACTGTTGTTTCCTTACGAGTCCTGTCACCCGCACCATCGTCGTCTTGTCCCTCGCCGCCGCATCTTATACCACCGCTACTACCCGTGCCACCGTGTTGTCTCGCGCCATGTAGATGTGCGCTTTCCTTTTTCAGTGTTCGGCATGAAGTAGCAAATAGAGCCGTCCTAAACTGTCTGATCCTCTTCAATAATATTTTAGTGGAGCCTGTCGCGAACATTGTGGAAGTCTTGCATCCAACAGTTGGGATTAACGAAGGTTAGATTATGAGCTTTGGCCATTCAACTCATTACATCGTTGATATGACCGATTCGCCACCAAGACAATTCTCTGCGCAGTAAAACACCACTTACTACTCGTACAATAGCAGCGCGTGGAAACTTTTCTTTGTTGCACTGTCGAAATCGTAGATCTTCCCCAGAATAAACTCATTCAATTTTACCTTCAAACCGTTTGAACTACGTGGAGAACAGGTTTGCATTAAGGACAAATTATCAATCTTCAATATTGTAGTTAAACAAAGACATACAAAAATAGTGGACTTTTGCAATTTTTTAAAGATTAGGAATTTCAAAGAAAATGAGACCTGCATACATTTTGTGACGTCCACTACCTGTGGACAACATTTAATAAAAAAATGTTGAGCAATTTTTGAGAAAATTTTGAAAACGCATGGAGGCGTCATGTAAAGAACAGTCGAAAATTAAATTTTTTTCTGAAACTCCCAAATCCGCCAATTCATTCAGATTGATCGGGTAATATCAATTTTGGAGAAAAAAACGGTATAGGCGTTGACCACAGACGAATAGAGAGACGTTTTGTCGTCAATCGACTTTTCGTTGTCGAGGACCAACAAAACATGGATTCTGGCTACATCACATGTTAGAGGAAGTAATGTACTACATATTGGAATAGGATTTATCAGCTTTTTCATTACCAGGGCCAGGCAAAAAGAGTTTCTCTGTCGAAAATTCGGCTTTTTTTGACGTAATTACAATACATTTTCTTATGTTCGTAAGGGCTAGAAAGTAAAAAAGGTTTTAATTTTGGTTCATATATATAGCATATTACATCGTCATATTAAGTCTTCACATTGTAAGGCAAGAATGTCCAATTTGTGTGTACTTGATACCAATGACGTAGCTGAATCTTACCTCGCGAGGGGGAGTTCGCAACTATTTACCCCTGATTGGCATGCAGCCCATCATGCGTTTGTGTGTGGCAATTCACGTTCTGTGGTAGTCAGATATCGTTTACCCGGCGTTTTCAAGTGCGCGCGTGTGTATGTAACAGTCAAGATAACCATTTATATTCATATAATTCCATTTGTCAGGCAAAACTATTGCAAAAGATCGACTACACAGCCACATAAAAATTGGGTCCGTGTCTGGGGATCTTTTTTTGTGTGGCTAGGCTATCTGCGTTATGGTGGGTCCAGTTACCTGTGACAATCAGAATCTTCGGTAATATTGAGACATAATGTAATTGAATATTAATATTATTTTACAACCGTAATGCTACATTTACAACCGTAGTAACCGCGAAAAGTAATGTAACCTGATATATTTGTAAAGGATTCACCTCCCGCTAGAAGAAATAGACTTTGGAATTATATCTCAAAGAAGGAATTATATTAATTCTTAGTCAATATTGCAAGCTTTAAGGACAGTTAAAACGCATTAATTATTAATTCGAAAATTCAGAGAGTAGAAATAAATCTAATATTAAAAAAGAAAGTTTCGTCATTTGTTCGCGTTATTACAAAATTGTTTGTTTCAGCGATGAGGAAAGAAATAACCGCTCCTTCTTCGGTCTCAGATATACCCATCCCAAAACCAAGTTCAGACAGTGCTTTTAAATATCATTTTTAATTTAAAATTACGTGTACAAAAAACCAAAGAGAATTCGAAGAATTGCATCTGACAATGCTGACAATGCCTTGCAAATAAACGGGTAATGAATTGGTGAAAGAAAATAATTTGTGAACCGCAACCTACCCAATATTGAAATTATCATTGTCTTAAATTATTAATACAGAACGAATAGAAAATCATTTTTAACATAATTTCGTGGGTGTCTTCACTCTTGGAGTGTGTCTGTGATTTTAAAATATTTTCTTGTTTATCTCATACCTCATTTAGATGATATAAAACAAAATCAATTATTTTTAGGATGTTCATCTATTCGGCCGAGACATTTTCTGGTACGGTGGACTGATTTCGAAGCTGTTCAACTGTTTAGTTGGGCAAATTTAGGCTACTTGTTTTCGAATTATCATTTTCTCTTACATAAAGAGAAACGTTTTTGTTTTTAGTATGTGTTCGTACAGTGTTCTCCGATCTTAATGAAATTTTGGGCACGCAACCTTCAAAACGAGAAAATAGTAACTGTATCCATGATATTTTGTAAAACTACCACCATCTTCCCTTCCTTCATCTTAAAGCAAAATTAAAGTACCCACTCATTCGAGTTTTCGGGAGTATTTGACGGGTAGGTAAATTAATGAGAGTAGATTAAAACTTTTCTAAAGCCCTTAAAATATCCTACAAAACACTTTTGATTCACTTCGACAGCGCAATTAAATTTGCAGTAATTGAATTTCATTGATTGATTACTGGTTTTGGGCGCTTCAACTGCTAAAGTGTTATTCCCGTGAGTGTAATGCATGTTCGTTTACCTTCGGGAGGTGGCTGTAATCTTCCCCCGCTGGAAGGTGAGATCCGGCGCCGATCTTCCCATGTGCTGACGAGGTTTTCCTTAACCAGGTATCTCCCAGCGGGGCAACGCCCCAACCGGGACAAGCTCAACTTTCGGTATGCGTGGTACTGTAGTGCGCGTAAGTGTGTGTAAGTAATAGGTGAGGATAAAACAAAAAAGAGGAAGGGAAGATCGCGCGCGGACCGTTGCCCGTTTATTGAAGTACTGCTCCGGCATTCGTCTGGTATTGATCGAAGAAATGGAACCACAGAAAACTACCGAAGAAATCAGTCAGTCGCTAGAATTCTCCTCCTTTCATCGGCTGAAGTCGGACCAGCAATCTTCCTAATGTCAACAATCCTGGCACGATCAGGAATCGAACCTAAGACCTCCTGGTCATAGGCACTGCAATGACATTAGTTGATGCCCTGAGCTATCTCTGACGATTTTCAGTAATTGAAGGCCATTGTTACTGGTTGTTTGTTGAGTAAGCAACAATGCATCTGCACCCAGCTACCTACAGCAACAATGGACGTAGCAACGATAATCGTAGCAAACAAGGCATGACAGATGCCAAGGGAGGAGGAGCGAAGTGCAGTGGGGCAGGATGAAGAACGTCAGGGTGGATCTAGAGGTGGTGTAGAACGGGACCGTGAAGGTTGGGACAGGGCCAGTGCTAGTGAAGTGGCCAGAGGAGGTCGGGGATATATTGCAGATGAATTAATTCTTTTTCCTCTTATAAATAATTGAAATATTCGGGCAAAGCACGGTACTTCAGATTGTTGTAAATAAAGTTAGTGAAGTAGTCCGGAAACTGCTCCTGGGTGGAGAACTCAAATTTCATTCGTGCTTTTCATTAGATATCAAGTTATACTGAGAGCTACTGAAGTGGTCCGGTTTGTTTCCGTAAAGTAATTATAGTTTTTGAATGAATATTACTTTGTCGTGTTGCTATTTCTACCAGTAAATATTTTATGTAAATATAGAGTAGCAGCACATAAATGTAGTGTGAAGTGCACAAAGAGAAAATATTCAACAGTTAACATCTACATTAAGTGCCATGTGATGCTGTGCAGTGCAATGAATTTAAGTGAAATGGAAGATATTTTTCTTTTTCCCTCTTCTTGATATTACTGTGCTTATATATCTTGTTTTGTAGTTTTTAGGCTATTTTGATATATAGGAACAAGATTTTATTGTGAATGAAAATATTAAATTTCGGAGAAAAAATCTGGCTTAAAGCTGGGCAAAAGCGGTAAAAAGAAGAACATTATTAAAAAAAACAACAATTGTTTACTGTGGATTATTTTACTAGTAGAGGCCTGGTATATTTTACTTAAAAAACTTGAAAGCAAGCATTTATGACCTGAAATTTCTTAGACGGGACCTAACTAAATCTTTTTCTGCAGTATTTTTAATGAATTGTCTATGAAATAAAAATATTTTAAAATAATAAATGTTTGTTAAAAAAATCTGAAGTGCAAGATGGATGTTTATGTAATGAATTACAAAATGTTTCCCATCAAATATAAATCAAATCGAATAAAATAACGAAAAAGAACTACACATCTTCGTTCTTCACCTCAATTAAAATAGCACGGTTTTGCCGTGGGCCCCCCAAGCCGTAGCTCCCCAATTAATCTCAAATATTTCTGCAAAACCAATGAGAATCAATAATCGCTAAATTAAAAAGAAATGTTTTCAATTTCTAAAATATGATTTAATTCATTTATAAACTTATATATATATATATCTATGTATATATATGTATATATATGTATATATATGTATATATATGTGTATGTATATATATGTATATATATGTGTATGTATATATATGTATATATATGTATATATATGTGTATGTATATATATGTGTATGTATATATATATGTGTATGTATATATATATGTATATATATGTATGTATATATATAGGTATATATATGTATGTATATATATATGTATATATATATGTATATATATATGTGTATGTATATATATGTATATATATATATATGTATATATATGTGTGTATGTATATATATGTGTGTGTGTGTTTCCCTACTGAAACATTTTGTTAGGCTTCTACGTATTAAAAAAATAATGAATGCTTACATTTCGAAATACATAAAACCGTTTTCACCAATATATCGCTAGGAAATGATTTCGCTGAATGTAGTAAATAAGTGTTATATTCGCGTTTAATCAAGAGCATTAACGTATGGTACTGCTCGAAGAATATATTAAATGAATGAATTAACATGAATTAAGAATATTCAATGAAATATTTTGACTAAGTATTAACAGTTTCTGGGTTTACCAACTAAAGCTATTGATATTCTTTGACATTTTACATGCAGTGAAGGTAGCTGTTATAAAATATAATAAATATTTTGTTTATTGTCATATTGTGGTGTTCGGTGAAATGCTTATTCCTGGCTGTTTGAATATGAGTGTCAATGTTGTGTATTCACCTATATGTTTTCGAAAATGTATTTATGGACAAGTGAATACAAAGGTGCAAAATAAATGTTTCCCACTTCGAGGGCATGTAGTTGGGTCCAAAATTACCTTTTGTCAATAAAAATAAATGATGGAAAATATCACATAACGAATGCACACTTTGTCATTTTTCTCTGATTGTTAGTCAATCAATCATACCTCACTATTTGGTAGGTATATGAAATATATTTGATTGCGTCAGAATGTGACGTGCCGAACATCAATGCATGATAGGTTGTCTACGTCATACCTGTAACGTTAAATGAAATTTCCCATCGTTATGTTCGTTTGCAAAAATTGTTTTTGACTCCCTAAATGCCCCACAAGTTTGTAATATTTATGAGACTCCCCGCACATACATGCACGCACGCACACAATCAAGCACGCACGTATATATGTGGTCTGTAGTAGAAAAAACCCTGCTGAACAAAATCACCCAAAATGATTTTCCTAAATAGTAGCGTGCACACTGCTCAAGAACAGAATAAAATGCTCGTGTAGAACACTGCAATAAATTAAATACAACAATAAAACACTTAACACTACTATTGCAATAATATTGTTTAGTAGTTATATAGTGTGACAATATTCTTTACAAACTACGAATGTCTAAAACATTGCTTTTACGTAACGCAACATGTGAATAGCAAACATTTAATAGGGGCTCTTATTTTGGAACTGATGTCGATTACATCGTAGCCAGTGTCGTAAGCAATGATTAAGATGAGAATTCAACCGATAGTCGCCGTATGATAACGGGAGGAATATATATAATCAAATAATTGCATTTTTAAAATTGAAAATCCGCTTCATTGCGTGTGTGTAATTGTGTAATATGTGAGTGTGCGCGTGCGTTCTTGTGTATGTCATTTTATCAAATCATGTAAATCTGATTCTGGGTCATAGATGCCCATTTCAATAAAACTTTTTGTCCACTTTCCTAGAATCCATTGAGAAAAATTCTGAGATAGACCCTTGCTTTGTTTATGAACAGTAAACGTAACTTCGCAATCTGCGAACGTTTTTTTGGAGGTCTCGTATTTCCAGACGTGGGAGGAGACTTCGCGAGCAGTATCTTCAAATCAAATCAGTAGCTTGTTTGTTGATGCTCGTAATTTTTTCACACGGGAACCGACATTTTTTGTTATCAAATATTCTTAACAATGATTGTTGGCATCTTTCATTCGACTATGTGTAGTAAAGAGAGAAAGAGGGGGGATCCCGGAACTGAAGTAAACATGCGCAGATTTTTCTCCCTCCCCTACATCTTGTATTTGTTTTAATTCGGTGTTTTGATTCGGTGTATTTGTTTTAATTCGGTTAATTCGGTGAAATTGTACCCGAGGTCGCTGTTTAAATGGTTCTTTACGTAAAAATAATAATAATAATAATAATAATAATAATAATAATAATAATAATAATAATAATAATGATAATGATAATGATAATGATGATAATAATGATGATAATAATGATAATGGTGATAATAATGATGATAATAATAATAATGATAATGGTGATAATAATGATGATAATAATGATAATGATGATAATAATAATAATATACTTGTAATAATGTAAGAAAAATTAATGAGCTGTGTGTATTCGATATAATTAAAAATGAAGAAAATGATGATGATTGATCTTTACTCACCGATGCCTTAAATTCCTAAGGCGATGGCAGTAGCATCCACGTTACGTCCGACAGAAGCTCCTCCGAACGGCGCGGTGGTGGTTTGCGCGTTCAGTGTGATCGCGCGACCTCTTCTGTGCAGCCTCTTGAAGCAGTCTGAAGACTGCGCTCGCGCAGCGCTGCCAACATTCCAAACGGGTCCACCAAGTAATGTGTTCACTGACGGAAACAAGACTTCATGTACATTTCCAGCGTAGGTGGAACATTATTTTCTAATGACAAAAGTAATTTTTTAGGAAGGTAAGGATTATTGAAACATTTTTTATGAATTAATGTCACTTATTATCTCACTCTCTTCCGTAACGCTATTGTGGACAGGGACGAATTTAGAGTCTAATCATTGCCAAGATGTGCGGGCCCTTAACAAAATTGAAATAATGAGCGTGTATACTTAGCGTGTCTTAGTTGCAGAGATGTGCATTTATGCTACGCAAATTCACAACAGAAAGTTAGATTGAGAAATCACGGTTCCAACATTAACATTGAAAACGTGTAGGCATACATGTGTGTACATCATTTATTTTGTAATACTTTTATGAAAACAAATACAAAAACACAAGGCGACACAAATCAGTGCATGGAAAGGCAAGGATACCCCTATCCACATTACAATAATAATTTGCAAATGAATATGTATGCAGTACAACGTACCTCTAGAAGAAAAGTACAATTATGTCTCTTCATATGAAAATACAATTGAATAAAACTGCGTAGAAATCATTTCTTCTAAGGCCATTGGTATATTTAATCTCATTAATGGATTATTAATACTTTATATTATATTTATTATTATATATTATATTATATTATATTATATTATTAAATTTATAATTTCATTAAACGTAATAGCATACTTTTAAGATTTACAATGATTCAATATGAAGTTCTTCAATCCAGTTCACAAGTTTTCATTAATAAAAATAAAATTAATATGCCTATTTATATTACAAATATATCTAAGATTACAATAATGAAATGTCAATATTTGTTATTAGTAGCAACTGTTCGAAATTTTATTAAACCTTTATTTCGGGAAAATGAAAACCGCAGAAAGCAGCTTAATTGCTGAATATGAAGGATTTTAATTTATCGCCTGAAGTTGGTTGAAAGATCAAGAGATATAAACTTGAGGAACGATTCCTTCTAAGTCCGTATTCTTCATCAATTAACATTGAGTTAATAAATGTAGAAAGTTTTGATTTAAAATGAATTTTTTGACTTTAGATGAAATGTTTGATTTAGATGAAATTTTTGATTTAAGATTAAATATTTTATGTACAATTTCTAAATTTCGAGCGGTTACTGGCTCAGTAAAATAGGAATAACGATGCATCTCTTTGGATAATTTCAATATGCCTTATGTTGGTTGAAGTATTACCACAATGAAGAACAATTTTATCGCCATAAAGAAAAGAATCGTATACTGATTCAAAATAGCCCAAAGAAATGTCAACGATGTATTGTATTTGTATTTTTATCGCATTCTCTTTTTTTACTCTATCCCAAAGATTTTGTTATTAAGTATTATATGAAAAACAAATAATGTTGTATTGTTATTGTGATAAAATCAAATAATGTTGTGTATATTTCTTTATCGTGCTTATTTATGCTTATTTTGTTCCTCTGCAATGACAATGTGATGTGTATTTACGAAATATGAACCATGCCCAACTCCACAACAACCCGTGTTACAAGAAGGGAGCCTGTTTAGGTAGCTCAGGGCATCAGAAGATGTCACTGCAGTGCTCTGATTGGGAGGTCTTAGGGTTAGGGACCCAATAATAGTAGGATTTTCGACACTGGCTAGATTCGGAAGCTAGATTCGGACCAGCTTGAAAGGAAATTCAGATTAGATTAGAAAAACCAAATTATTTCGGCTGAAGCTGCATTTTGTAATGTGAATACTAAAGAAAAGTTCTGCAAACGCCAAAGAATTAGCATATCTTACGCTGGTTCCGCCCTCTCATGGAATACGGGAGTTGCAGTGCCGTGTTGCGGATCCATACAGAAAGGCCCGCACCGGAAAAATCTAGCACTAGATACAGAGAAAAGCGAAGAAGTTTACCATAGAAGTAACGCAACAAAAAAATTAGGAACGTCTAAGAAACGAGAAGCAACAAAAGGCGAGGCTTTGCGCTCCTTTATAAATTCGTACGTCGGCTCAAACCAGCTTTGGAAGGAAATCAGATTAGATTAGAAAAACCAAATTATTTCGGCCGAAGCGATCAACCAACCCACAAAATTCGAGCAAAGAAACAAAATTCAGATTCTTGCGGAAGTTTTCTTTTTGTAACAGAACCAATTACGAGAATTGGAAAAGTACCTCAGCAGTTTTTCAAAGTTTTCCTCTCAGTACCGAAGAGTTTTTAGAAACAAATTAGAACAAGATATTAAATGAGTATGTGCTGTGTAGTGCTGTGAAGTGCTGGTCGGTGTGTAATTCAAAGGTAATTCAAAGCAAAAAAATGTAGTGTAGTGAGCGTGATCAATGCACTTTTCAATGCTGCTTTTCTTCTTGTACGGTATTATTATTATTGTTATTGTTATTGTTATTGTTATTGTTATTGTTTTGTTTTGTTATTGTTTTGTTATTGTTATTGTTATTGTTATTGTTATTGTTATTGTTATTGTTATTGTTATTATTATTGTTGTTATTATTGTTATTATTGTTATTATTGTTATTATTGTTATTATTGTTATTATTAGTATTGTTATTATTAGTATTGTTATTATTAGTATTGTTATTATTAATGTAAGTGTGGTAATTTTTGCAATTATTGTCATTAACTGCCACCGGGTCATACCCAATTGCAGTTCTAATAAATGTATGTATATCTAATTGAGCCGATGTCTGGAGGAGATTTCTAGCTGTTCTAATCGGTAGTTTTCCGTGGTTTCTCCGATCAACACCAAGCGAATGCCGGAGCAGTTCCCAAACAAAGCAGTACTCGTGCGTGATCTCTTCTTCCCATTCCTTGCCCTAACCTGCCCCTTTACTTACACACACTTCCACTTACATGCACTGCTCTACCACACATGCAGGAAGATCAGTCGGGAGCTTAGGGCTTGTCCCGGCTGGGGCGGTGCCCCGCTGGTGGGAGATACATATTAGAGCAAATTGGAATACATTATAATAAATATGTTCCTGGTACATATTTATTATGCATATCATTGTTTTATATTTATATTATAATAAATTTGTACCAGGTGTATATTTATTATAATATATTTCAATTTATTTTATTACAATCTTAAAAGTTAGAAAATTTTAATTTAGTTTATAGTAATTTCTGCTTAAATTCAAATTAAATTCCAGAAGAAGAGGAAAAGAGCTTCTCGAAACGTTAAGAGATGAAAAATGTTTAAAAAATTAACAGAACATTTCAATAAAATTTCAATCTAAATTGTTTTTTTTTTTGTTAATTTATTGGTTTCATTATGTATATGACTGTATAAAATAAAATCTTGGCAAAAAATCTTAAAAATAATATTATTTGCAATGGTTGAAGTTGTGTATTTTCCACAGTATCTCCCACTGGTAGAGTACGGTATAATCCTCCCTTCCTCCTCGCACACTGTTTCACTTGAGTCGAAAGTGGAAAAGGTCAACGCAATATGCTGCGCAAGATGGCTCTAGATAATGTGTATGAGTAATTACGCTCTGCCTTATATTTTAACATTTCGCACAAGATCGGGGAATGAGGTACAAAATGCTCCTGCACGACTCACTTGAATTTCAATGGACGTGGTTTGCAGGACTGTGGGTTTGATGCAGGTCATTCATTTTGATTATTTCTTGAGAAATTACCGGTATGTAATTTCAATGTCCAGAATTATTGAAATATTTTAGGATGACAAGAGTTTCTGTTCTACACAGAATACTTGTAAATGAGAAATGAAACATACACGTTACTCGTAATAAAATTCATCCAGACTTTATGAGAATTGTGAGGAATGCTCAATATTATTATGAAATGAGGCAGTGAGGTTCACAGTGGCCCCAAATATGCTTCGACTTTTGGAGTATAAGGATATGCTTCGACTTTTGGAGTGTAAGTGCTTTTTTTTCAGGCTGACTCATCTTAGGAGGAATAATCATAAACACCTACTCTTAGGGAATAAATGTTTAATACATGCAAAGTAATAAGATAAAGGGGATGGGTCTTTTCTCCGCGTCAACAACTAAAATCATTAGTCTCGAAAGTGTAGTGCATGGTTTTATCGCGGAAGGTTTTTTGTGGGTCACCCCCGCTGAATGATGGGAGACAACATCGACCTACGTCGGCATACAGAGACTTTCCCCACCAGGTATCTCCTACCAGTGTAGCATCACCCGAGCCGGGACACGTTCTAAGCTCCCTACTGGTCTTCCGATTTGTGTGGTTGTGTAGTGCACGTGAGTGTAAGTGAACGTAAATAAGGGATAAGGATTGAACAAGGATGAGGAAGATAAGATCGCGCGCAGTCCATGGCCCGTTTGTTAGGGTATCGCTACAGTATTTGCCTGGTGTTAATCGAAAAAAAACAACGGAAAACTACCGATCAGAACAGTCAACCGCCAGAATTCTCCCCCAGACAGCGGTCGAATTCGACCTAGGAGTCTAGCTAGTGTCAAAATTCCTGTCACTGTTGGTTCTCGAAGCCTAGGACTTCCCGGTCTGAGGCACTGCAATGACATCATTTGATGCTCTAAACCCCCATTGCTGGGTTAATGGAACGACCTGCATTCTAAAATCATAATCAACAGATAGTAAGCAAGTGCGTTGTCCACTGCTTCACTGGATTCTTATACCGGAAAACTCTTATACTCGGACAGTGCCTCTGTCTGGGAGGTCCTAGGTTCGAGACCGACGGTGGCAGGTTTTTCGCCACTACCAAGATAGCTAGGTCGAATTCAATCGCTGTCTGGAGGATAATTCTAGCGGTCGGCTGCTCTGATCCCAAGTTCTCCGTGGTTTCTCCGATTAACACCAGGCTAATGCCGAAGCAATTCCCTAACCAACGGGCCACGGACTGCGCACGATCTCTCCTTCCCCTTGCTTATCCTATCATCACCCCTTACCTACACGCACTACACGACCATACATTCAGGGAGGCCTGTCGGGAGTTTAGACGGTGTCCCGGCCTGTGCCCACTAGTGGAAGATGCCTGGTTGTGGATTAACCCCG